GGGGAGTTCCGATGGTCGGGGTGGCACACAGGAGCAACAGAGAAAACTGACAGCTGAGGTGAGGAGATGGAGGAGAGGCTGCTCTTTCCAGCAGCTGTGGCATGTCGGTAAGCTTGTAGTGACTTGTTGGTAAAATATGAAGGAGTTCTTGCACTCAGTGCCTGCATGTAGCAATCCTGAGTGCCACTCCCCATACAAAGGGAAATTTAGGCGTGCTCAAGGTCCTGGGGGAAGTGACTTTGGGGGTCTTTTATGGCTATCTCCAGGGATAACAGGGAATGCAATGAGACTTCAAAGCCCTCTCTTGCACAGAAAATAATTTTATATGGTGGCTTGGAAATAGGGCAGACCCCAATCCATGCAGAACTGAGGAGATCAGAAAGATACAAGTGCCCACGGTGTACTGCACCAGAGAAGGGACTGAAGGGAGAGCTACAAGGACCTCACAGCCTTCAGAGCTCTCTGGTCACACAGCAAGCAACACACAGATGATACTGAAAGGGGGCTGAGCAAGAAGGAGTTAACCAGTGTTTCGACATTTCAGCCAAGTGCAGTGCTGCTATGAACCGCTGATTTGACAACTTTTGATACAGAGGATTACTTTTTTTTGCTGTCCCTCTTCTCTGTAGCAGAGCTGTCGCGTGGTGCTCGGTGTCTGTTCCCGGTGTGTCTCCTCACCCAGCACGGGAGTGCTCACAGGGCAGGGGGTGCCTGCCCGCTCTCACACGGATCCAGCCCCACTGGCCAGCCCTCCTTGGGTTGCAGTTTCTGCCTCCCGATGGGATGGATTTCAGCTCACCAGCCGAGCCAGGAGCACTCTGCCATTCCCAGGGTGTCAAGCTCCTTTCGCAGGCTTTCAGTATAAGATATTTAAAAGTAGTCCTTGCCGCCTTCAGACTAACCTAGGGCGCTCCTGGTGTCGATGAATTTGATATTGCTGTTGTCTGCCACGCTTCATCGGTCATACTAGACCTGGCTCAGTTTACACCACAGGCAGAGTTTCCTCCAGGCACTGTCGTCTGAGCCATTCCTACGCACGGGTGTCGAGGGCAAAGCGGAGGGACAGGTGCAGAAGCCGTGCTGCACTCCCAGACCGGCGGGGAGCGGGCTCCGGCTCCGGCCGTGCCTCGCTGCGGGGCCAGAGCTGGCCGGCACGGCGGCCGCTGTCCCGAGGGGAGCCCGGGAGGAGCCCCAGGGGAGCCCCAGGGGAGCCCCGAGGGAGGCGCGGAGCAGCCCGGAGCAGCCCGGAGCAGCCCGGAGAAGCGAAGCCGTCTGGTGCCACCTCCCGGCTACGCCGCCCGCCAGCGGCCCCGCCGCGCTCGGAGCTCCTCCGCGGGCTGGGAACTGATCTCGGTGTCATTATTTCTAGGCAGAAACTGGTAAAGTAATATTAGCGCTTCAGGACTATCGTTTCCGCTCCTTCCCCCTTATACTTCTGAGTTGTGCCTTTTTTTATTATGCACGGGGCTAAAGAAGCATCATAGAAGCCTGTAGTGAAAGCTCTCTTATTTTCATGAAGCACGAAGAGTGGCTGTGGTTGCATTACCAGGCAATTACTTAACATAATGCATCGCCAATAGCCATGGGTTAAGTAGGAGGAAAGAACTTAAGTCTAATTTGGTGATTTTCATGCAGCTGCTAACAGCTGAAGAATCACCCACACTATCTGCAATTGATGTAAATGCGGATTTTTACTTTTAAACAAACTTTTTTCATTAAATCTTTCCAGGCAGTGACTAGACTGTATGGCAAGATGTGTATATTGTGTAATTTTTGTAGATGTGTGTTTTGTACCAGTTGATGTAAAAACTCATGTTCTTTTCTTTGTCAGACTTGGGGTATAACAGACTTGGGGTAACCACATATAGAGAGCAGTAGCTTCATTTTAGCTGCAATGTAGCATTTCCCTCAGAGCAGGTCTGTCTTTTCTGGAATTAGAGACATCATTAAACCGTATATAAGCAGCCACAAACAAGGGCAAGGACTCTTTTCTGTCTGGGGAGAGAGGAAGGCAGGGGGAGGTACAGCAGCCAGCCCTGCTGGGGTCCCACCCGAGGCAGGGCAGCAGGCGCTGTTTTGCTCAAAGAGCAATTCAGCCCGGTGAGTCTCTGCTCCGAGGACTCTGTAGAGCAGTGGGGGGAGCACAGGAAGATGGTACCACATAAATAAATAGCTTCTTTCCCACCACCCACCATACTTGATTGCATTTTTTTTCTTTCTTCTCCAGCAAATAAAGCAAAGGCAAAAGACCACACCAGAAGATGAATTGCACTGTCTTGGCTAACTATTCCTGCTAAGCTTGAATAGGTTTGCAAAACAGACGTGTAGAACCCAAGCAAGAAGGGTGAAATAATTAGAGTTGGAATGTGGGGCTTTTGTCCCTGCTATAATTGTCCCTGGGCCAGATGAGAAACATTAGACATCCAACAGGTGATCTTTTCAGATGAAAGAACTGAACAGTTCCTCCTTTCTCTAAAGGCTACATACTTTTCCTATCTAATCAGTGATACAAAATGGGGAGGTGCTGACACAAGCAGGAATAGCCGATTACCTCATCAGTATGGCAGCAGGTCTCCCTTTAAAGTGTGCAATTAATTGTGAGTTTGGGAGGTTTTGTTTTGCTTTTTAATTCTGTATTCGGTGCAGGAACCTGCAGTCACCTGTCACGTAAAAATATTATTTGCTACTACTCTGATCAGCTCCACTGCTGCTTCTGCAATCAAAACAAATGTAAAGCAAGTAACTCCAGTTGCCAGCATTTTTTCACTCATGTGGCTTTGATTTAAAAACTTGAGGAAGCTGAATCACCACAGCCAAATGTAACAGTGTGTACATAGCCATGAATAGCAAGAGCTTCTTCTGAAAAACTTAAGAGCATTTCTTCTGTTCCCTAGGAAACAGGTGGCTATCCCTATGTAGGAAAAAACTGTAATTTCACAGAGGTCACCAGTAGAGCTGCAACAGAACTGTTCAACAGAACCTTTAAAGCAAGTGGGAAAGCAACCCCCTACAATGCAGTGACACGTTTCTTCTGTCTCTTTCAAAGTACCCTCCCCCAAAAACTGTGTAATGGCTGTGGTTTGTTTCTTTGCATTTTTCAAATGTGTATTGTATAGTGAATTTGTGTCATGCTTTACTGTAACAGTCCTCTGGATTGTAACTGCCAATTAAATTTAATGTATAAATCATTATTAATCCTTCAGTTATACAATTAAAGTGCCATCCTTAACTACTTGGCACACTGTACCACGTCAAGTTAGAGAAACTGAAGCTACTACTAAAAGGTGAAGAGTGACTTTAAATGTAACTAAAAATGAGGTTGCTTACACTTTCCACACTGCACAGGCTTGAGGCCTCAGCTGCCAAGAGCACTTGCCCACTCTTCTTTCTAGGGAGGCCCAGCCTGGAGCTTCCCAGGACCCATGGCTGCACCACATTTCAGTGTGGCAGGTTTGGCTGCCTCCATTTATACTTTTGTCACAAGACCACAAGCAACAGCGCACAGACAAAAGGGTCCATATTCCCTTCTTGTGGAGCTGATGTGCTACTGAGATGAGTAATACCTCAAGATGGTCATAAAAGAACAGTGAAGTGACAGCTGTTGGAAGTCAGGACACTTCCAGGATAACCAGAACAAGTACAAGTCAATGTCATGAGGATTTCATTAAATAATTAATAATTAAATTAATACCGCCTTTGAACAGTGCTATGAGCCAGCAGTGAGCCTAATTCATACTGTTGGCTGTACTTGACATTTCTCTGTTGAGGAGTTTGGATGACTCGGGGCCTGCCCTTGAACTCTTGACTTGGGGCCAATTTTGTTCTGATGTCACCGTGCAAAATATTAATTTTCTGACACGGTCTTGCCTTTCCTGTCTGACATCATGGCGTACTTCTTCCTCACCCCCTGCTCTTTTTTAGTGTAGATTTCCTGCCTACCATTATATTTTGGCATTATGCCATCACTCTTGACTATAAACTTCATGGTTATCCCAGCTAACAGGGGTAGGAGCCTTTTCAGATGGAGTCCATTTGTGTGTGATAGAGGTGAAATAACTAAAATTTCTCCTTGAGCACACATCTCCTAAGGCAGGTATCTTCAGAAACCCAAAAGCATGCCTTTTTCCTTGTCTAAAACATATGTAAATAACTACTCTTCCTAAAACAGAAATGAGAGGACCCTTGTATAGCAACCCAATTGCTCTTATGGCAGCAGATGAACAGTGGCCAGGAATACCAGACAGGTAAGATAAATACCAGTTTAATGTTCATGTGAGCACAACCCAAGTTTAGCTAGGACAGTATTTCTAAATGAGTGAATCCCGAGATCCCACATTTTGTACTTGATACCGAATAAACAAATGCATTGACCTGCAAGTTATGAATCGTAACTGCACTTTTGGGGATCTGGCAAGGAAACAGCAATAAAGCAAAGTAGGAATTAGGAAGGCTCAGAGGAAATTGTTTATAAGGGAGACAAGGTGGACAAGAAATTAAATTCCAGCTCCTCAGTTTTTTCTTGTAGGTAACTGCTATTGTTTGGAGCCATAAAGGTCAGGCAGTCCTTATGCAGCCATGCTTCCTGCACTCTCGCCCCCTCACGTGTCCTTCACTCATTCCTCCTCCCCAGGTTATGGCTCCCTCCACGGCTAGAGCTGGTTCTGGGCAGGCCCTTTGCCTCTTCACTCTCCACACCAGCTACTTCCATGCCTCTGTATTTGATGTTAACTCTGGACACAGAGATTTCTTTCCACACTGTGACAAATCCCCTGCAAATCCAAGTTGCTGGTTTGAATTACCATTTAAGGCATTAGTCATTTAAGGAAGCTTGTCAGAGTCACTAGCCAGCAATAATATACTTCTTACAAGCAAACAGTCTCCTAAATAATAAAACAGTCTTCTATGACCAATTTTTCTCTCTGTTGTCGCTGGATTTTCTGGGGATGTAATGGATCTTCAACACAATCAGGAACAATAAGACAATGACACAAGTTTAGCAATTGCTTTGTGAGATTAGGTTAATATCACGTAAAAAATGGTTCTCAGATTCTGCACACAGACAGGTTTATGTAAAATATATAAACATTTGTCCAAGTTGTTACAGATTGCATAAATATGGCATTTTTACTGTTGCATTTACAGATGTGCATGTACAATGATGTGCAAATAATCACAATCTGATTACAATCTTTGAAAGGTACTTGAACCTTGCATCCAAGTAACGCAATGAATGAAAAATGCCCACCAAAGAATTTAAATAGCAAACTTATAACATGGTTTAAATTCATAACAAATTTCAATGTCTTACCAGTAAAACTTTCACACATTTAAAATATTTTGTATTCATTTTATTTGTATATGTCAAAATACATTTTTTTTTCCAAAATAGTGGGTTTTGCAACTAGTTTCATGCAGATACAAGGTCTGCTCAGTACTACCAATAAAATCAATATAGCACAGTAGCCATTCATTTTTTAGATATAAAGAATAAATAACCTAAATATAAAACACTAAAATATTAGAAACACGTATTTAATCATTCACAGGCACCCAAACTTTACCAAATATAATCCAGAATATGCCTAACTGTCTTGTAACAGAACTCAATATGTTGCAGCCATTCAATTCTTTATGTTAGCATAAGACAATGGAAGTCCCTATGGTTCAGACCCACCTCTCATACAGATCAATTACAATAAGATATCTCAAACTATCCGTGTACCTTTAAAATCAAAAATCCTGAGCTTGGTAGTAAGAGCATAACCTTACATCTTCAAAAAACCAATCAACAGAGAGAGGACATCATGTCATCCTTACCAAAACATATCCCACCCCTGTAAAGCTAACCCTCCCTCCCCCCCAAGTAGGCAGTAGGACACAACCTTTTTAAATGAAGGGGTACAAATTCACATTTAATATAGTATACAATATAATCAATAATACAATAGCTACTACAAGCTTTACAATGTACAATTTGTTTTAATGGCTGATCTGTTCAGTGGTTTTAGGCAATAAACTATGTGCCAATAGGATGTCATATTTTGAATGGTTTAGTGAAAATATAAAAGCTGTTCCTAACAAAAACGATCTTCACTTAAGTACTTTTTTGTTTTTAAAGGCCACTGAAATGTATAAAATGGTCTGACACGGTGTTATCAAATTGGATGCCTTCTCACATGGCAACAACAGTGCATATAAACATTATTGTGAGTGTAATGGGTTATGCTTTTCAAATGATTTAGTACATTACTTTGGCTAGCACAACAGGTTTTGGACAGCACTCAGATAAATACAGGTATGTGAAATGTAGTGAAGCAGTTATATTTATGCATTTTTTTATTATGGTGAACACTATCAAATGAAAAAAAAAGGGACAAAAAGATAATAAAGTTTTATATAGTTTAGACCTTTTGTAAAGATAGGGCTCCATACAATGTACAATGTCTAAATTCTTTATACCATAAAAATTAACGAACTTTGTTAAACACACTATTCTGGATAGCCTAATTTGCATTAACAGACATTTGCAATAGGGAAATATATTCAAGCATGCCACGTGGTGGTCTGAAAAATCAAACCAGTACACATTTATATATACAGCATCACTCAGTACCTGCTCAAATGAATGTGACGATTACAGGATCTAACGTCTTTCACTACAAACTTCTTTTTTTTTCTTTTTTTTTTAAAGTGACCAATAAAGGCAGAAAACAGGACTCTTAAAATATTTCTAGTTTCAACTGACTTTTAAAGCATTTTGTATAGGAAGTAAATGCATATTGCACAAACAGTGAAAGCAAATGTTCCACCAAACATCTCTGTTCCAGGTGGTTGGACAATACAACTCTAGTTAGCTACACAAATTATGTAATTTAAAAGAGTGTGTGGTCTCTGCAAATGGTAAAGCTGTGAAAACACTGTACAAGAAAATCTGGTACACGAAAAATTAGAAGGGAAAAAAAAATCCAAACTTAAATCTTAAAGAAAAACTGAGTATAGGAAAAAAAACGGGAATTGTGGCACAACAAAAACATTATTGAGTAACTGTCGTCTGTGAGAGCTGAAAGCTTTTGTTGATGTAAAGTGTTTATGTACAACTAAGGCTTACTGGTTAAATATCTGAGGCGTATCTGGCCTTGAATACTTTCCTTATTATGCTGTGGCTGTAAACAAGATTTCTCAGTCATTTTATCTTCTCAGCAGCTGCATTTTAACAGAAACAATGATCTTGATACAAAAAAACACACAGGTAAGAGGGTGTTTGGCAGGATATCTGAAAATGACAGTCTCCGAAGGATCTTCCCACACTTCCAGTGACTGCCATACCATGGTCCACTGGAGTTACTAGTGATGTGCAATACCGTTACTTGCTGCTGTAGTAAACCTTTTATTTGGAAAGTTTGCTTATAACTCTGATCAAGGCCCCATTTTCATCTTTTAGCCTCTGGTTGTCTGCCTTCAGGTCTGGTAGCATCTATGAAAAATGAAACATGGTGGTTATTTGCTGTTACACCCCAAGTAAAAGCAGCAAGACTAGACAAGGACTGTGAGTAAAAATCTTTGTTCAGCTTAAGTATCTTGGCAGTTCTCACACTTCATATCAGCAGTTCAGAAAAATCTCCCCTTTTAGCATGATACATTTAAGGGTTAGAGATTAGAAGTTTTCATTTGCTTGGACTAGATGCACTAAAACTCAGTGGTGCAGATGACCAGCCTCTGACAAAAGCATTTATAGTAGCATGAGGAAAGTAATGAAATACTTCAAATTCCAGGGGGGAGGAAGGGGGGCAGAGGGAAATTAACTACCAACAATTTAAAGAGGCTTGTCTATACTGCACTTGCAGAGTTTCAAAAAAACATGCTGTGGCTAAGCATCTCTACCACTGTGCCCTTGGATGATTTCATCCTGATCAGATACAGTGTGATTCAGCTTGTTAGCTCATAGCATTAATCCTCCAACCACTTCCAAAGTCATGTTGAAGCACACATCCTGTAATCTGAGATCATGTCCCTGAATAGCATAGTTCACACAAGATCAGATCACTGAAACAGATCACAGCAACACCAGGCTACACACTCAGGCAGACAGGTTAGGGAACGGCAAGTTACCGCTGCCAAAGGAGATAGGTGACACACAAGCACAAAAGCTGCAAGGCAGAAACCAAATGAGGTGAGAGTTGGACAGGATCAGATAGGAAAGGAGGACAAGTCAGGGCACAGAGGTTGGTACTGGGAGAATTCAGCTTCCAGACAAACCAGAAATTATCTCAGCAGTTCTCTGTATCTACATTCGCACACTGATAACAAACGACCTATCACACTCACAGCTAAATTACACCTATGGATTCTAGCAGGGGTTTCACGCAGGAGGTAACAGCCTATTCCTGCACAGTGGTTACTCAGTAACCTCAAGTGCAAGTGTATGCAGAAGTTCAGCTACCAACCTAGGTAACACCTTTTACCCTATTTTTCATTATTTTCTTGGCACTAGTTTATTTTCATTTTATTTCAGCAAAACTATACTTTCAATCCCATTATATTCAGAACATTACAATGGAATAGAAAGAACTAGGAAGTTGAAAAATGCAGCGTCAATTAACTGCATTTTTCATTTCTACATCTCCTGCCCACACTCACTTCACTGAACTGCAGACTCTTTCATAGTGAATCACAATTGTGAACTGAAAATGACTGAGGTTGTAGATCTCTAGTTTATCTCCCTGCAAATACCAAAGTATGTGAAAGGAAATTGACAGGAGATCATAAGAAGCAAAAGGTTGTCTCTACAATTAAAGTGGTCAAAAATCATTCAGCTACCCTTGATTCCAGCTCTGTTTTATGGATGAGCCAAGGGAAAGACACCTAAGTTGAGCTCTTCAGAGTCACAGGGAAGCTTCCATTACAGCCAAGTGACAGCTGTGCTCTGAACAAAAAGAGCTGTAAAATGCTGATTACTTTCAAAAACTATGTAAGTATGTTTGAAATTGGGCAGCATGAGAAATCTTTTTGAAATTGTCAAGCATTATTGTTTAAGTCTAAGCTGTAAAAAATAACTCTTGTTGTCCAAGATAGGGGTCATATCCAGATAACATGCATCTTCAAACAATTGAACAGCCATTTGCTCAGGCAAACCAACCAAAAGCTTTTCTCCCTCCTTTCCACTCTGCTACAGATTTCATACCAAAGGTACTGGGTGAAACCACAGCAACCCTCATCTAGTCATGCACAGGGAATCAAGGGAGTCTGGTTTTGTACTGGTTAAATAGGTACCTTGAGTAGTGTTGTGTGTGCATTCCAATGAAACCTCAAAGTAAATCCAGGAATGTCACAGTGCTCTTTCAATTTACTGAACAGGGAGGGAGCTCCAGCCCAGAATGGTTAATTACATAGAGACAGACTCACAGAGAGGTAGATTTTCGGGTGAACTACTTTAACAAAGTCCACTGTTCAAAATTACAGCTTTAACATAATCCAGTGCCATTATGTATCTGCAAATCTCTGTAGGTAGATTTTAATCCTGATTCAATTAATAGGTAGAATAGGTCTTAAGGAAATATTTTCTCTTTTGTTGCGAGTCTGCTAGAACATAGGAGAAGACTTGCAAGAGACAAAAGGGTTATATGACAAGATAAAATGGTATTGTGTTGCACTAGGAGATGTTTATATTGCATAGCTGGAAAAATTTCTTCATCAAGATGGTTGTCAAGCAAAACTGCTCAGGGAAGTGGTGGAGTCACTATCACTGACAATATTTAAAAGATGTGGCATGCAGGGCATGGTTTAGGGCTGGTTGTACTGGGGTACTGGTTGGACTTGATGATTTTGGAGGTCTTTTCCAATCTAAATAATCCTATGGTTCTGTTAATAGCACAAGATTCATCCGGAAGGATAAGCACATGTAACCTAAAATACTTACACTTCTCACCTATACTACTCCCCACATACTTTAAACAAATCTCTTGGAGCAGTGCATTTCTATGGGTACTCAAACTTTTCGTGAGGTGACACCATACACCTTTAATGTCAAGAGGGAGGAAAAATCTTTGTAGTAAATTCAGTAAAATTACAGTAACATACTGCACTTTGAATTCCAATTTGCTTCTCACTAAAATAGTGAAGTATCTTCCTGTGATAAGATTCGATTAAAAATGCACTGTTTTGTCTGTCTGTATCATAACTAGCTAGTAACTTTGCAGTGTTATCATTTAGCAAATAATGATTTAATAACCATCTGACAAATGAAGTCATCTCAGATCTGTAAAGTAATCATCATGTCTGTGTTGGAGGATTCACCAGTTTGTATGTACAAAACAACTTGATTAATAAAGATTACAAAAAGTTCATGAACTGTTGAAGTACCTGTTCAGATTACTCAGGCACACTGCTATTTTTAACCTACCACCATAGGCTCCCTGCTGTGCTCCCACTGCTTCTCTTTTGCTTGTCAGGCTACTCAAGCTCCACAACAACCTGCCATTGAAAACTCCTGCTATGGAGAGGAATACTGAATGGTTTTCTATGGTTAACAACCCAAATGGCTTACCATGGTTAAATGAATGCCAGTGCTAGCAAAAAAAAAACCCAGTATGGATGTGTCAATGTGGACAGCAGTCATTAGATTAGCTCAGCTGTGTTGAAAAACCACATTGTTTGCTGAGGCTCATGTAAGATGGACAGCCCTAAAGGGACTGCTCTCCCTCCTCAGGCAGCAGTGTGCTCCTGCTGCTTTCTGCACAGTTAATTTAGTGATCCAACAATACTGGGGTGAGATGCATCAAGTACTATTATGAATACAGGGATTTGTTTTCAGCCAGGTCAGTGAGCTGACTTCACTTCCTCAGTAAGGGTTAACATAAGGGAGCACTGTGGAATGCAGGGCCTGGATCAGGAACACCACATCCTAATGTTAGTCCAATTCCAGAAAGACACCAAGCAAAAGGATAAACCTCTTCATTTCAGGCCTCTTAGTGGGGAAAACCCGAGATCAGACTCTGAGCAGAATGCACACTCATCACGTTCCTTTCTAAGCGGGAAGGGGATAGATGAAAGGAAGCAGTTTAGCAAGAGTCACTGTGCAGAAGGATGGTTTATTTTCTTCAACTACACATCTTAAAAGCTCAGATTAAAACTGAGCTTTTAAGATGTGTAGTTGAAGAAAACTGTAAACTCCAGCCCTTATTTTTTTCAACTACACATCTTAAAAGCTCACTGTAAACTCCAGCCTAGACACTTGTTATATTTAAGAGGAAGAAAGGCATATAGATTTGGTGTAGAATGAAATCACATTTTATCCTCATGGAAGTTTTGAACCTTCCACGGGTTTCTGAAACATCCTTGAAATAACACTAAGAACAACAGACTAGCATTGTTTTCCAAGATGAAACTCAAAGCTGTTCATACTTTTATCAGAAGGGGTCTGAACCAATCTGACACACTAGGCAGTTTGTTTTGTGTCTGTGATTTTGCGGTTATTGTAGGACTCTCATCCACACTGGGATGCCTATATCTACAGCAATGTAAATCAATAATCCTAACTCTGTGCTAGAACTGCATGTTCTAAATCGTCTATGTAAAAATAAGGATTGGCAAGACCCAAATGGGAAGTTAATACTTGAAAACAGTAATCAACTTGAAATTCCAATACATTTCTGAAAAAACCAATACTTTGGTCCCCTCTGAAACAGTGAAATACACAAAAGTAAGAAAAATGGTTGCTAATGCAGCTGTTCAGGAATGCACAGTACTGAAACCAGTATTGAAAATACTCTTTTTTGTTAAGACTAAACCTTTATCAACTCTATGCACTTAAATCAAACTGCAGAAAGAAAGCTCAAATCTTAATTTCAATTTGTTAGAAAACTAGAGGCAAATCTATTTGAGCATTTACACAAACATCAAAACAAGAGACTGACTTTAGTGTATCCTCATGCAAACCCAAATCCTTTCAGTTGTTGCCAAGATTTTAACATGTCAAAGGTCTCCTGGATCCTTGCCAATTTATCTTCAAGGACAAGTTTCAGTGCTAGCAGGGACAATACCACACAATACCAGCACATCTGCAACACTTCTAGCTTGTACACGGGGCACCATGCTTTAGCTTTAGCCACACCTCCAGAACCGAGCAGCACTGAGTCAGTTTCTGACACACAAGTGTTAATTGTAAAATTCTGCCCAAGCACAAACTGAATGTCAACACCTGCCTGGCTAAACAAAGGAGGAGGAAGAAATTATAAGTCCACAGAGCGCAGTTGCCTACAGGACCCTGACAACTTGGCAAGCACTCGGGTCAAGGCCCTATTCTCAGTCACCAGTCGCTCATTTATGTGTTTCAAAGATTGAATCTGCTTTATTTGTTGCAGGTTCTGCAGGAATCAAAGAAATAGGAGTGAAAATGAGAAAAAAACCTCACATGTATATTAGATGAGCAGAACTGAAAGAAAACTTAGAAGAGAAGGTCCTTTTTAAAGTAAATAAGCTGCTGTGAAAGGAAAGTGTCAAACAAGTGGCACATTCTTGAAAAGCAATCTAAGTACCAGTAGTGATTAGTCACAGCTTTCCAAAACAGTTCAGGATGCATTAACAATGAGAGCTATTCCTGGAATTCTTCACTTAACATCCTAATTGCACAGACTGAATCTCCTATTCAAAACCCTGTACATGACATATTTAACATATACTTTTAAACAACAGTGTAACAAACTATGTGAAGAATATTTAATCTTTCATTCAAAACTTTCACTTCTTGCTTATTGAAAGCAAACTTTTGGAAAAAACAATATATTTGTTCTCTATTTTTATCAGAAGCCTAGCTTTCCCTAGAAGCTCACATCCTGTATTCCACTCTTAGGCAGACAATTATTCTCCTCTACCATAGTTTGTTTTTTCTGTATTTCACTTCTGAAGACCCCTCAAGGAATCATGGACCTTATGCTCTCCCTTACAGCAGACTTATCTTGTTCTGAATCCAAGGGAGCCAGAGGGATCACAGTTGCTCTTCTGCCTATCAGCTTCAATTACTTAAACAGAACTTGGCACATGTATTTTAATTAAAAGTATTTGGAAATTAATGCTATTTCCAAGCACCAGAGGGAGCTCAAAAGGAAACTTCTTGTTAATCAGTGACAAATAACAAAGGTCAAAATAATGGTACTTTCACATTCCACTTAAATTCTATGAGTTTTGTTGGTCATGTCTAATGTTTACATGAAAGGACATAATAGAAAATAAACCCACCCAAATTCTCACCCTCTTAATAATATCAGAGGGTTTAACATTGATAAATACTGGTTAAAAAACCCAAACAAACAGAAATGAAATTTATTTTCAAAAGAATATTGCTTCTGAGATTTACTTTATACATAGTTGAAAAAAGCAAAAATCAATACAGTATGTGTCACTCATTTGTCAACAACTCAAATCTACCTACTGCATTTTGTTACGTAAAACCTGATTCACACTATACAAACAGAAGATTTTCTTTTGATATTGCAACATACCATCTAATTATAAAGAGTATGAGATAAAGACTGAAAAAACATTTAATGCTTAAATATCTATACATTTTTATGTTACCACTATTTAATAATAATGGACTTTAATAATAATTAGTAAATAAAATTTATGAGTATCATATCAAAATTGTAGACTGCAATTCCATCTTGATTAGCTCAAGATATGTTTCACTCTAACCACCTCTGAATGTTTCTTGTTAGCCCATGTTACAGAATCCTAGAAATCAGCACCTTCTTTGCAATTGTACATGTACAGCTGCTTTTGCCAGCACCACAGCTTTGCTACAAGCTGTGGGACAGGAGTGACTCTGACGTGCAGCTGTAACTTAGTTATTTTCTAGTGAAATTATAGAGACCAGTAATACTGCCGGGCTACGTGTCCCACTGACATAATAATACACTTTGTTACTAATAGTGTACTAATTTACTTACTTTCAGTTCCTCTTCCATTTCAGATATCCTTCTTTCTAGCGCTCTTCTTTCCTAAATCAGAAGATGTGTGTTAATACTGAACAATACAATGTTTTAAAAATTACAGCTTGTAAATACTGTGGTAACAGTGAAATACTTCAAGTTTCAAAGATCATACAACCAAAAGCATAGTGTGGACAGAAAACTTGTGATGGCAGTGATACATAGAAATTTGGTCAATATGGAATTTTAATATCCAAAGAGGAAGAGATACAGAAATTCATATCAAGTCCTAGAAAACATACCCCTTCCTTTTCTCTAATTTAGAAAGGTTTTAAGTACAACTTGTTTGGAATTATTTTTCATAAGCTAAGCTTTTGTAAGACCTTAATATCCAAGAAATGCAGAAAATTATCAGAAACAAACAAGAATATTAAAAGATACAAGCACAAAAGCATAAGCTTTCACAGACAAAGGTAGCTGAAACATCTGTCTCAGCTCAGTGGGATCTGTCCACACTCCAAACTGCAACAGTTGATACAACTGACATTTACAGGACTTAGCTCAGTACCAAAGAAATCTAGTTACGTGAAATCAGCTGCTTCTTGAGAAAATGTTTCTGGAATATTTTCTGCATTTCTCATATAGTTTAATTTTCCTTTTATTTTCCTTTTATTTCCCTTTTTACCTGAGAAGCAGGAGAAACTATCCTTTGTATATGAACTTGATTGCACTGACTATATAATCAAGCCAGCTTATGGAAAGTTAGCTTAGGTTTTCTATACTACACTGCAGTCTGCAGTGCAGGTACATTTTTATTTTGTTTAAACCTATTTGTCAACACATCTGACAGATAAGCAGCTAATGCAAGAAATGCCGGGGTTCATAGCTTGATTGCTTGCTTTCCTGTGTCAGACGATGCAGTGTATCTCATTTAAAAGCAGCTGCAGTTATCAGTACTCTACATTCAGATTTTTTTCCAGAGGGTGAGAGGCAAAAGCAACAGATTATTGCAAAGTGGACATATGCATCTGCATACAACAGTGTTATGCAAACAGCAAGCAGCGTTGGCTGAGGTGTGTAAAACTTTGGTTAGATCATACCGCCCAGTAGATACTGACTCTTGCCGGACACCTTTCAGATATAAATCATTTGAATTTAGTTTAATCACAGTGCAGTTATACCCCAACATTTTCCCATTACAGCAAGCAACTTCAATTTTTATCAAAGTAATAAATATATTACTGCAGTTGTTACTAATTAATGTACTTAACTCCTTCAAACTAAGACTTTTTTTATAATGACTGTAATAAGTACCAGTGAGTTAACAGGATGCAAGTAACTAACAAAAATCCCACACTGTCTTACAATACTCAGAATTTTATCTGTTACCTACTAGTTTTACAGAATAACATACATGATGTGTTCTTACATTAAGCAATATTCAACAATTTTTCCTATTACCAAGAGATGAATGATCAAACAAATCTCAAAATTTCAGGTGTCTAGAAATTCTCAATTCTTTTGAATCATTTGCTTAACTAGCATGTTGAGCTTGTCTATTAGCAAGAAAAACCAATTCAGTAAAATCTGACTTTTTATCCTTCATATTATACAAAAGAAACAAACATACTGGTCTAGGAATAACAGTGTTTGTAGAAATGTTTTGTTCCTATTATTGGAAGCTATGCTCCTCTTTTTCTTGAACTGCTTACTCTTTTAGGAACTGGTTTGAGGGATGCCAATGAAATAATGCACTGCAGTTTCACTGAGAAGATTTGCCAGTATTATTTGATTATTTCCTGGACTCAAAGAAAGTATTTGAAATCTCTGAGGTCTAAAATTTTATGATATACCACCTCAACTCTGTAATGTCTGTCAAGGAACATTTGTAACTCACAAAAAAAGAAAAAATCTGACATACACAGATATACACATATGAAAAACTGACACCCCCAGAGCTATACCATTTTTAAGAAGTAAAACCAGATGTATATGCCTACATATATTTGTATATTCAATAATACAAAGAAATACACCTCTCCACAATTCAAATTCCCAGCTGAAGAATTCTAATTTTGGAGAAAAAATTGTTTAAAGGTGCCTATATTTTTCTGGTTTATCATCCAGACTGAAACCTCTAAGTTTAAGTTTTGGTTTTAAGTTATATTACCACATCATACAAAATTCTGCAAAGGGCTGTTTGCATATTTAGCAGAGGGACAGGTTGTTAAAGAAACCCTCATTTTTGCCCATGTATTTCTAGGACTTTGCACATGTGCTCTGATCTGTACCCCCATTCTCATGGAAATAGCCCTTTTCTGGTAAACAGTTTTCAAATGAACAATATTCACAATGTATCACTAAGTCACATCACGGAAACCCACTTCTAAAGGGTGAATTTAAATAAATTCAAAGCCAGTATTTTCTGAATTTTACTACTGTGCAAATCTAGGCTTAATACAGATTCTCATTTTCTTCACTGAAACAGTAGGTTTCAGCTGGAAAATGTCATAGTCCAAAGAGGTTTTCAGCTCTTTCTCTGTCGGCTTTTTATTTCTTACAATTTTTCCTCACTGATTTACTTTTTCCCTCTCGCCTTCTCTACGTAATTTATAGAAAAATCTTTAGGTTTATATTTTATTATCGTGAAGTCATACACTTGGAGAAGTATACTTAGAAAAGCTCTACAGTATCTTTTAATTTTGCATTTTTATTGTTACATTACACATTAAAAAGGTGTCTTTAAAATTATTTTTAAATGCTGAATTAAAGAAGCTAATTTCTAGAGATCAGCTATTGATGACTAGCAGCTGAGAATCCTGCTTCAGTCACATTCAAATGAAGCTTCAGATTTAAGCTACAAAAAAAAAATACAATAATAAATATATTCCTCGTTTCAATTCCTATCTGAAAAGAAGTATGTAATTATAAATAAGATTCAGATGTACAAATTTTGTCCAAATCCTGTTTCAGCCATACAGCACCTAAGTTAAATACATATATCACTAAGTTAATTATTTTATCCACTAGATTTAATATTAATACATTTAGGGAAAATAAGATTTCTGAAAGACATTTTGCTGTTGGACTGAATGTCTTAAAAAAAAAAAAAGTGCAAGAATTTCTAAAAAAGGCAATTGTTGTAATGCAATGGCCTGATTTGGGAGAAAGCCAAGCAGTAATTTAAAACTGAAATAATGTCTACCTATGCAGTACTCTGTGCATTACCTAGGAATCCACACAGTAATGGATGCAGCAACATCTATTAAACAATTAAATGTCCACTTGTGTGGCCATGCTAGCAAGCAAGAAACCAATTATCTGCTGCTGAAACCTTTCTACTGATGAAATCACTGCCCACACTAGGGTCCCAAAAAAATTAAAGAGAGAATTACGTACTAAACTGCAACAATAAAGTGCACAGACTATTAAGATAAATATAATGAAACTTCAGGAAGTGCCTGAGAGTATTTCTACATCTCCGTGTGCTCCTGCACAATCTGTTTATATACTGGACAGTTCTGTGTAACTAAAACTTTTTTTGTATAACTAAAACCTAAAATACTAAAAACCAATACAAAAGGCTAGTGAAGATGAAATTTACCAGGGATTAATAAATGTTTACCACATCACTTCTTACTGTCAAAGTCTTATTTTTTCCAGTTTGTCTCTAATGTGTCACTCCAGGATCAAGGGAGAAGAAAAGAACACATGGTGTTCAGAGTCATGAAGGAAGCCAAGGCCACCACAAAATCAAGGTAGTTTGCTTTACACTGCTGTGGAACCAAACTTTTATGGGCTGGATTCTAAATTAGCATAAAATTATAGACTAAAACTATCATGTGTCCAACTTCTGATATAATTCCTGTAGTCTATCTCACACATGAATACACTGCATGACTTCTTTCCCATTCAATTTAGGATTGTCTCTGACTCCGATGCCCGTCTTCCTGCACTGCTTACTCATTCTTCCACTTTCTCCCCCTACCCCATTATCATATTCCTCTGGAAAAAGCTACAGTGCAAGGAAAGAGGCAGACAAAGATAATTTTATATCATTAGCAGGTTTAAGGTCCCATGTCTGCGAGGCAGAAACAGCTACCTCATAACCAACAATAATTGGTGCCTCTGGAAAGCTCTGAGGAAATTAACTTCTCCAAATCCTGGAAATGTGTTAAAATATGAGACACAATGAATCTGCTTAACCCTCTGGAATGACAACATTGTTTTGGATGAGATGGAACAAGTGGCAGGTCCCTGGAGGGCAGCAGAGTTTAGAAACTGGTTATCACGAATGAACTGGCAAACTAAAGGCAATACTTAGGAGTAATTCCCATTTCACACTCACCGCCATTTTGAAACCTAAAATCCCCAAATCCTCTAAAAAATGCAAATTATAAGAAAGGCTTCTGTTCCTACTAAAATATATCCAAACCAGGGGGTGCAAAACAAGCTAAAACAAAGCTTGAATTGGAGTATTTAAAAGTTCTCTGGCAGAAACTCACCCTTTTCTCCATTTCCAAGAGTGATCTGTCAGCAAATCTTTCTTGTCTCTGAAACACAAAATTGATGAAGACATTAACATGTGCTTTGACATAACACAGAACTGAGGAAAAAAACCAATTAGACATTTCAATATTCTGTCTGAAGTATATAATCAAAAACATTTTAAAGAGCATTCAGGGAAGTAACACCGAAATACAGAATAAGCTGGATTTATAATGCACTTCTTCTGTGACCATCCCTGTTATTTCATCACTACACAGCCTTTGGCAAACAGGAAAAACGTATTATTTCTATCTAAAAGTGTTACAAAATGGGCATCTTTTAAACGTTCTTCACTAACATTTGCAGGGCACACATGAAAGACAATTAAGTACAGCTAAATTGTGGTAAATATGATCCAACAACATGAAACATTCTACAGCAAGAGTAGACAAATTTAGACAAATCTAACTCCATTCTTCACTAACATTTGCAGGGTACACGTAATGTGAAATTCTAATAATGTGAAAACAGCTAAATTGTGGTAAATATGATCCGACAACATGAAACATTCTACAGCAAGAGTAGACAAATTTAGACAAATCTAACTCCAGTGTATGTGTCTTGAACAACTATATGCAGCACTGTTATCTGACAGCAGTTATTGGTAACAGAAATGCATTATTTGCTCTTCATTTCCAAGATAAAACTATTTAACCAGCCAGGAAGAACTGGCAGGTTATGCCAATTTGCCAGCAGTCCTGACTGTCAGTTTGAATATATGCTTAACAGTGTACAAAGTGTTTACTCCTACCCTGCAAAAAAGCTGCATGCAGATAAATGCTGGCAAAAACCACTACTACTTAAGTAGGCAGGAAGCAGTCTCACACTTTTTGTTCACAGCTGAAGACCAGAATCATGCACTCTTTTCTCTTTAGAAAGAGAGAAATTCTCCATACCCATCTTTGGATAAAAACCAAAACTGATACCTAGTAAATAGCAGCTCATAGCCTGAGGTGCTTCTGGTTTATTATCTACATTATTGGTTAAGTACATGCTTTTATGTTTTATACAAACCTGAGTGGTCTTCTCCAACTGTAGCTTAAGATCTGTAAGTTCCATGTTGGTGTCATGTAACTGTGCTTTCAGTTTTTCATTTTCAGCTAGAATCTGTTCATAAAGCTAAGAGAAAATATTTGTTAAAAAAATCAGATAATAGTGAGATTAGCAAAAAAACTTCAAAAGCATGACTGAACCACATGTGAAATTAACAAATATATTAACAGTCTAAGAAGGAAAATAAAGATGTTTAAAATTAGCAAGCATGGTAAGGAACTGTTACTAAGTATTTCTAGAAACAAACAGCTTTGTATAGGGAACACACAACTTACCTTACACATAATTAAGCCACCTTTTTTTATTCAGACTTTACAGATTACCCCACCACAGTACACTTTTCAACAAACTCCTCCTCGATTTTAAAACAAGATCTAAACATATTTTTACCTTATATGTATCTAAGCTGGCAAACACATAATGAAGTCTTCACATATGCATACATCAGTTTTAATGATACTTTCTTATGGGAAATACTATCATATTATCTTTTTAAAATTTGACTGTATCGTGGCTCCTCTGGATTTCTCCCTTGCCTTGAAAAGTACAAAAACCAGAAGCTGTTTCATAATGTATATTTTTTCCCACTGTAGTGGTTGCTGTGCTTCTCCATTCAGCTAAGTTACTCTAAGCAGCATTTCAGATGCAATGTGAGACTATTTTCACACAATTCAAGAAAAGCAGTAATAAAATCCTATTTTTGCACCAAACTTATTGAATCAGATACCTTCTTAAAATCAGGGCTATCATCTTTTTCTAGTCTACTGCAGTATGGTTTTCGATCTTCAAGATAACTCTGTGACCCTGACCGCCCCTGCGCTGAATCGTAACGATCACCTGCAGACGTGCTGAGCGATCCCGAATCATATCTGTAAAAGAAAAGGTCTGATTTTTCTTTGCCTTTGCACCCAAACTGAAACCCCTGACTGTATCATGTTTTGAGTTTGCTGCTACCCAGCTGAAAACAACCAGAAGTAATTATGTATTTTTGTTAGACTACCATCTTCTAATTTGATGCAAGTTTAATTTTTACATTCTCCAGTACTTCAAGATTCTGGGTGAAAAAGTTTTCAAATTAGTCCATCTGCAGAGTAATGCATGCAGAGAAATACTTTAAATGTAATTAAATTATTTAATGCAAGCAAATATTTACATGTCTTAAAATACTTTAGAACTGGCTTAGATAGCTTAATTCTTCTTTTTTTACAAAGAACATTTTTTTAAAAAGTGTATTAGTTTAATTGAAGTATTTTAAAAAACACTAGATGAATGGCCTAGATGAATTTTAAGTTTTGTTACAGCAACCAGGATTTCAAAACTATTTGTTGTGAATTCTAGTATTTCAACAGAAACAGCTGATGAAACAAATCTTTGGCAGTCTTTATCCTAATAACTCAATAAAACCCTGTATTAATAAAGTTAACAGAAATTTCACACTGTTCACTCTTCACTAATCATGTGTTACAGCAGTTTTATTTAACAGATTTTCACCAGTCAGAACATAATAAAATTTGATAATTAAAGCTAATGGTCCAAAAGTAAATGATTTTTTAAAAGTTATCAATATTCCAGCATTTACTTTTTAACAAATCGTAAGGAAATATGTTTTTCTTTGGCTGTATTTTTTTTTTGAAGTTACATAGAAAATTTTCAGTAGGATATTCTAAAAGAGAGGCAATAAGAACCTCGTCTTTGTAAAAACTGGGTCCATGCTGAAAAATCTGTAGGGATAGCACTGTGTCCACTGTGTTCTATGAAACGCCCAGCCTGCCTTCAGAGCACTACAAATACAGAGTTCAACATATTCCCCCACATGGAATATTCCACCCACACGTGGCAGGACTGTAGCTTCACAACCAAACTTCATGCAAAACACAAGTATCATCACAGCCTTTGAAAGCTCAATCCAACCACTGGATTTAAGCTGAATTTGTAAATAAACGACTTAAAATGACAACATGTGAACAGAAAGTGTAACAATTCTAATTAATTTGTTTAAATTGCACATACCTTGAAAGGCTCTCACTCTGAGGTGGGGACAGGTAAAAAGAGAGAAAAAGAATGGATTGGTGAATAATTTAATTAAAATATATAATAATCTGTGAACAAATACAACTAAGCAGTTAGGTCAAATGCACATGCTATCCACCAGTATGTATTATGTGAACTGTATCAAGCTTCAATTTTGTTATGTCTGGAAAAGAAAAGAAATATGTGCTAGAATGCACTTGACAAAATATGATTTACAAGGGCGTTAACACTCTGGAAGTCTGGAGTGCCCTAAACAGTGGAGTTATTTCAGTACTTGGTACATTCTGGGTTTGCTTCCTTGTTATCAAAGGCATTAGAACACTGTTCCTGAAATTCACTGTTCCTTCTTTCTGTTCTTTAACATCAGCTACAATGTTTTCAACATAATGACTTCAGCTCAAAACAATATATAAAGATACAGGATCACTGTTTCAACATAGCGTGACTGGAAACAAGTTACTACACCAACAACATAAGGAAGTACTTATTAGACTTAATTTACATGACAGTAAATTTTGTCCCAGTGGATACGCCTGGAATGAATGAATTAATTAATTAATGAAAGTAATATAAAAAATAACTCTCTTTAGCTGACAAGCAAAACTTAATTAAAAGTGATGACTTAAGAGTGAGAGAGTGTCCTCTAAGTATTACATCAGTCATACAAACCTTTTGCCTGGCCTTCTCAGACACCTGGGCACACACTGGCCCACGTTCAGCCACTGTCATCACCATCCCCAGCTATTTTATCCCTTGGGCAGTTTCCAGCCACTCTGTCCCTATCCTGTAGCACTGCATCAGGTTGTTGGGACCCAAGTGCAGGACCCAGCACTTGGCCTTATTGAACGTCACCCAGTTGGCCTTGGCCTACTGATCCAGCCTGTCCAGACCCCTCTGCAGAGCCTTCCTGCCCTCCAGCAGATCAACACCCCTGCTGAACTTGGTGTTACCTGCAAACTGACTGAGGGTGTCCTAGATCCTCTCAGCCAGATCATAGGTGAAAGTACTGGCCCCAACACTGAACCCTGGAGAATTCCACTCATGATCAGGTGCCAGCTGGACAGAATTCCATTCACCACCACTCTCTGGGCCTAGGCACATAGCAGAAAGTGCACCTGTCCAAGAACTCTTGGTCAGTCAACTCTACACTTCTCCACCATTCCAGCCCAAGACACTCACCCTTTTAATAATATGAATGATTTTGGGACTGATTTAGCACTATTTCACTGTAATGTTATTCATTCTATCAGAAGCATGACACAGCATACTCTACCAAAATTAATGTCTACAAAACATAATATGAAGTAATTACAGACCTAAGGATAATGATATGTACCCCTGGAAGGGAAGCAAACAGGACTATGCAGTTATGTTAATGTGGCACAGAAATAAAAAAGACAGCAAACCAAAATGGCATAGAATGAGTTTCTTAACTTAAATATTTAACAGATGTGTATGGAAGCTTTTACAAAGAAGGAAAGAAATATCCCTTGAGTTTTATTCCTAATGAACATGATTCTGTAGTGTGCTACTCCAGGGTTTAGGTCAAAAGAAACACATTCTTCTTATAGCTCAGCTTATGTAACTAATTCCCTTTTAACACCTCTTTATCCCACTGTCAAATACCATTCTGTTTTCAAGAACTTCTCCCATCAAATCAAGCCTATTATACACTTTTCCACTAACTTTTTATCAACACCAATAATACTCACATAGGATATTCAGAAAACCATTTTGTTCACTGAAGAAATTACATACATCGTGCTCTTCAACTTTCTGTGTTTCCTTAAATTACCTTTGCATATTATTTTTTAATTATAATAATGGCAGAACTGGGTTTAATTTTCAAAGCTTTTAATTAGTGTGTGCAAGTAATTGGCCATAATTTATCTGAAAATAACAATGTAGGTGAAATAAAGATTTTACTGGGTAAATCTTTACTGCTTGTTACAGTAACCTGCTGCATCATGTCCCTGTGTGTCAAAAATTGAATCGACATTTTCTGGATGCTAATACTACATAATCAGAATGGAAGTCAAAATGGTCAGTTATGGTCACTGTTGATATGTGAATTCAATTGTAACAAAAATTTTACAAAAAAATGTATCTCTTAAAATTAATAAACAAATTTTCTTTCTTAAATTACCTGAGTTTCTTTCTTATTTGTTCCTTCTTCTGAATCAGACTGGTGGTCCTGATCATTTTCATCACTCTGGTGAAAGAGGTAGGAGAGGAAAAATAAAAAATTAAAACTGTTGAAAGCTTAGTAAGATTTTAATGCATTCTACACTTTGAATATGAAAATATAAGAGCAGCAGAATACTCCACAGAGAGTATACAGGATATATGAAGAAAATTCTCAAACAGGTACATGTTTTCAGTACCAGAAGGAGATGAAAGAATTTTTTGCATTTCACACGTGAAAATCTGGCTTCTATATTACACAAGGATCCCATGACAAAGAAAAGGGAAAAGGAATAGTCTGAAACATCAACTATAACCTTTCTAATCTGGCAGCAGTTATGTAAGTTGCTAAGTACATAGCTACTTGCAATGTGCCAAATACTCATTTTTACAGCTTTGGTATGCATGCAATATAAAAGATTTGTTCAATAATTTAATTATTTTCCTTAGATTATGATTAGCTCCTATTAAGTTATGGTTACTAATAATTCTAGTTACACTAATTCCAGTGTTCTAGAATTCTGGTTAGCAGTATCAACTGAAAAAACTTAATTTTGATTTTGCTCCTGAAAGCATCAAAACTAACCAAAGAATATATAAGTTGAAAAGCATATTTTCTTTCTAGAACAGTGAGTTACGTATTGCATTACTCTAAACAATTCTCTATTTTAAGAGTACAATATACACATTTCATTTTGCAAAAAGTGAAGTTTACTTACATCCTGAGTCCAAAAAGAAACTCCTGTAGATCGTCGTTTTTCTCTTGGTCTCCGTCTTTCCCTTATAGACTTAGGCTGTGACTTATCTTCTTCCTTTTCTTCTTCTTTTTTGCCCCCTTCTGTTAATAACAACTTTCTCATTCACTGAATTTTGACACAACCTAATTTTCTAAAATACTTCTCAGTCTTTAAAATGCTCACAAATAAGTTCTTTTTACCTGAACTAAATTCACTAAAGAGCTTCTTACTACATACAGGATTTGCTGCAACATACACTCTTCCAGAACACAAAATAAATAAAACAAACCTGCCCAAACCAAAGTTCTTAACTTATTATCATGCAGTTTGTTCAGCCTGATGCTCTTTTATTAAATAAAGAAACCAGAATTGAGTCCAGATAGAAGAATCATTAATAACTGTCATCACTAGTCTTCAGAGGTAAAATAAACACTTTAGAGTGAAGCAAAAATTAAATAAGAAAGAAGGGAAATACATTTATGGTGAACTTACACCTTTCCAGATTTAATAATCTAGGATTTTACCTTTGGGATTTCATATGGTAGTGTATTTCTCCTCCAAAAGTCCTAACTAGAAAAAAATTAGAACCTCTGGTAGCTAACATTTACCAAATGAAAACATTTCCCACGGAAAAATCTAGCGCGAGTTTCCTAGAGTAAGCATGCATTACAAAAGAATCATAATCCAAATTTCAGTTCATTTTAGGACAAAGGGGAAAAAATCAGAAAGTGTATCCATGAAGCCTTGCCACAGTAACTTCCTCAGAAAACATCAGTCTAGAGAACATGGCAATGCTGCTATATAGCTCATGGAAATTTCATCAGTTGATCATTTTATCTGACCCTCTGTAGAACAAAATTATCAATCAGTAACCCTACTGAAATTACTGATCAATAATTTGAATTAAATTATTTCTCTTAAGTCAACAGTGGCAAGTCCAAGAACAAAAAGTCACACTGTATGTTAACAGGCTCCTCATTTGACAGGCAAATAATCAGGCACAACATCTCTCAAAATTATAGCAGGGGACTCACATTTGAAATGAAGGCAAAATTTCTGTGACATCAGAGAAGAACATTTTGTGATCTCTGAATCATGCATCTAATCCTCAGTTTAAGATTACATGAACCAGTTAAAGCATGAAGAAGTATGGTTACATCTGAACAGAGATCCTTTAAGAAATAACGCATCATTCCAGTCCTTCAATGTGGAAGGACTGAAACAAACCCCTAGTTATTTAGCAATTATTTAATCAAGTAAAATTCCTTCTTAATACATGCAAGTATTTCGACCCTGAAATATAGTATTTTATTATAGTTGCTGTGTTAAAGTAGAAATTACAGCATTATGTGGGAGTATATTTGAAAATTCGGTGACCCAACAATGGAAAAAAATCACATGGCTGCAAAACACCATCAAATACAGAAAATCTTTTTTCGTCTCCATATGAAAGTTTTGAAATTTCTTAGATTTGAGCAAGGTACATCCCCAGTGGTCTTACGTATCTCACCGCCTTTTGAAATACCTCTAGGAATGTAAACTGCCCTTTGTCAACAAAAGAACAAAAAAACCCTTCATAAACAGTACTCCTACCTCTCTCACTTTCCTTCGTTCCGCTCCGAGAATAGGCAGAAGTTATACCTATAAGGCTGTTTGGTCTGTTTAGCTGACTTGAACTTGATAGAGAGCTAGTGGACGTGGAGAGCGAAGAGGTGGATGACGAAGGAGTTGAAGTTGAACTTGGTCTGTAGCGATGATACGGCTATTCAACAGAAAAATGTCAGAATTAATTAACCAAGATTAATGAATACAAACCACGGGATATGAAAACACTTAACTGTATAAATTATTCTTACAGTAGTACCAAAATTAAAATAATATTGTTGCAGTAAAGATTCATATAATTTCTCTACCTAAAGAGACTCATCATGAAAGTACCTCTTCAGCAGTTCGGGAATATCTTTGTCTGTAGTCATCATCTTTAGTTTCAGATTCTTTCTTTTCTTCTTGTTTTTCTTTGTCTTGCTTTTCTTTCTCCTCCTTTTCCTTTTCTTCATTTTCCTGTTCTCTGGTTCGTGTGGGACGACTTCTTCCTATAGTTTTTTCAGCTTCTTGAAGATCTGTCAGTGTTACACCCTGTGAAAAAAGCAGTCAGCAAAGACCATTTAAATATAACATTAACATTAATGTAGATGATCATATTACATAAATATTTTAAAGAAAACATTCAACCTAAGAAAATTAAATCTATCTATTAAGAAATAAATTTTACCTACATATTCTACCTATAAGCTTTCCTCTTGAATCTTGGAACCAAACATCCCTCTGATATGTGGCAAGTATTTGCTGTAATGTGATCTACCACAGACTCTGCAGCAAGCCAATTTTTAGTTGAACTAGTAGATACAGATTGCACAGAAGATCCTATAGAAATAATTTAAGGATCCAATAGATACTTTTAATGTGATTGTGAGCATACTAAACATTTCTGAAAGAACCCTACAAATATAATACTCATATTTTCAGGAATGTTGATACTTTATAAATTAATTCCTTGCAACTGGATTTTTAGGTTTTAGCAACACTAAAAAGTCTCTTGTTATTTTTAGGCTATAAACTAGTTTTGAAATAAGCTCAGAAAGCAAACAATTTTATGAAGACAGCTTTTCTCTACTACACTTTTCAGCTGATGTATTAGTGAGACATCGCTCAAAACACTTTGTAATCCACTCTTCAAAGCCAACTCTGCTTTTAGTGTTCATAAAGTTTAATCCAGCAATTCCTGGTAGCTTCTTCACTGTAAGGATTCAGCAACAGTTAGCCTGTAGTCGGATCATCATTCAGGGCTCTGAATTAGTACTATGAAGTAAAAATATGTCCCGTACAATGAAGTTGTATCAAACAGTACAGATCTCTCATTTGGAAAGCTAACCAGAAGTATATGAAGGGTTTAAAACTGCAAAGATTTGAAAGCAACTTGAGTAAGCAATGTAGCTATGGATTCAGCCTAAAAACAGGTAAGGAAAATGGCTAGAGTATTTCTTTGTGCTGTTTTATTCAGGGACTATTTGCTGATTATTCTCAGTTTGCCAGCAGACAGCAGTTGGCAATTGCTCCACTGCCCAAAGAGCATTTGAGTACCATTAGAGATATTCCATTTTGCTCCTGCCACAATGGTCCCTGTGATAGGATTGTGTCAGTTGCTGAGAGATATGGATAAAAACTGGGAAGAACTTCCAAATATACCAGTATGTAAATTAAGAGAGAGAAATGTTGCAAGGAGATATGCAGTTAGATAGTAGATTATTAGCACATAATAAAAACCTCTCTTTTAATATTTTTCCTTCTCCAGGGAAATTAGATTAAAAGTATTTTTTCCTATGTCATGAATCTTATTAGCAATCCATGCTGATCAGCTCAATCATATTATCTACAATAGCTTCTGCACATAAAAAAAAATTGGAAATGGATGCAAATCAATATGCTATGCCTGTTTCTCAAGAATGATGTTATGGGTATGTTTTCAAAAATGTAGAAGATTTAGTAATACTGTACCTGTGTAGATCTTCTAGACTGTCTTGCTTGCCTGGATCTAGCTTTTCTTTGGGACTCAGACTCTTCATCCCGTACTGGAGTGAGGTATGATCTACAGAGTTAATTACAAACAAAATTGGCACATGATAATTTTTGCACAAATTTATTAAATGGTCAAACCCCCCCCCCCAACACTGCAGATTGAAAACCAAGGCAGTCAGAAGAAAATATTTAACTATATGGGATAGTTTACATTTTAGATATTTCATTCATATCATACTGATCTACTTATTCATCAAGACAGCAGCTTTAGAACTCAATTAAAAGACAGTTTTCCTACTTAATTTAGATTTCTTTTTACCATTTTCTATAAATTTAACTTCAGCTCTTTTGGTGTATCACTGGTCTACTAACACAGGGGTAGAAGACCCCAGAGATTCAGCCAGTTAGACATTTATATATCAAATATGTGCGTGTATTAACTTTTGACATAATTTGTAAGCTTTCAGAAAAAGCTAAATGTATTGTTAATGCAGAAAACCTAATTATATTATCCATTTCACCAGAAATTAAGAATCCCTGAGGAGGTGGTTACCATATTTTCACATGAATCATCCACGCTTTGAGCAATCCAAATCCCTTTGAAAAAAAAAGGAACTTAAAAATAAATCTTCATGAAACCCACAGAAGTCCTGCAGAATAAGCAGGTAATTGTAATCAAAGATAAAAGGCTACTAGAGTAGAAACAGAAGGTCCGGACACTTATAAAGAAATTCTCTAATGCAGATAACAGGTAAAAAACCAACAGAATGCATGCACAAATGCATTATGCAGCCCATAATTAAAGAACTTAAAAGATTTTAATGCATTTATTGATTTTCTATGGCAGGATGCATGCACAAATGCATACATTTATATGTATGTAAGCCCATAATTAAAGAACTTAAAAGATTTTAAGGCATTTATTGATTTTCTATGGCAGAATACTCTGGGAAGCTGCTATAATTTCATACAGTTTTTAAATCTTAAAACTGGCTAAAAATTAGAAAAAAATGAAAAAAAGAATTGAAAAAAGCAAACTCAAAAGGTCGCTAAAAGGCTGCTTAAAACCTCTGAGCTTCTTTAAATCAGAGTCTATAATATTTTCTGATTGCCTCTCTTTATATATCATTAGTTAAGAATGGTTGAGATTCACTGGATTAGGATACAATAATTTGCTAGTGATTATGCCATCAGTTATTAACATCTAAATAATTTATGTACGGAAAGAGCAGTTTGCTCACCTAATAATGTATTTAGTAGCCTTAGCACATACTAAAAAAGAGTTCCGAAGCAATCATAAGATTTAAAAAACTTCATTTACAAAGACCTATGGATTACAACCTATGCTCTACCCCATTAAAATATTTACAACTAACTGCTATACTTAAAAATGTTGAAACAAATCCCATCTTATGGTGCATCTTAAAAAACCTACACTATGTAAATTCGATTTCCTTATCCTGGTATCTTGCATGCAGCATTTTTGATTGACTTTCCATTTCCCAAAAACACTAGGCTGTATCAACACAAGCAAAAGGGTGCCTGTTAGGCTGCTTTAGGTAACCTGACCTGAACCTCCACCTACCTAGGAGGGTTGACTGCACAGCAGGTGTCATCTTTAAGGCTTCAAATTGCTACAAACTGTTTCCCATAACTTTCTTTTTAGTAACTGCTGTACCTATACCTACCTTCCAATAAATCTGAAATACTGTAAATTGCACTGAGAGAAAATGCAAAGTCTCAACTTTTCAGGTGCACATTGCAGCTACAGTCAAGAGTAGAAAGTGCTCTTCCCTAGCATCCATTGCATGTGGCACACTATGCTGTATTATTCATGATAAAAAATCTTAGAGAGTCAAGTTTGTCATTTCCTTCCCTGTTTCTCTGAACCAATCCTAAAAATCAAATGATTTTTAGGATTGGTTTAGAGAACATAGCTTCTTCAGCTGTTCCAAAAGAACATTACACGCTTCATCAGTAAAGTGCTTTATATCTTCACTTTCAACTATCTTTGAAATAGTCTTGCAAACATACTTTCAAAATATACAATTTCAGTCACTAAACACAGATTAACCAACTTCATTACTTAAGAAAATATACAGCATGTAATATTTAATATACATTTATTTGTTCATGTGCATAGAAACATATGTAGATGCACACACAAATATATGTATCTATCTGTATATATACAGATAGATATGCTTGTGCTCATATTTAGAGCACAATATTCTCAAACGCATGCACCAATTATTCCAATTTTGATTTGTAAGATTCACAGACATTCTAATTTGCCATGAAGAATGCCTCTGCAACAGTGTATTTCACAATCAGCTCAGTGAAAACCATGGCATTTCAGGCCTACTGCAGGTATCTAAAACATATGTAGTATATGCACATTAGTATACACACACTGGTGAGAGCAAACGAGACAGCAAAAGCCTAATTCTAATCTTCCTTGCCTTTCTAGCTTATATAAGACTGAAACAGCATTTGCCTTTTAGAATTTGAACTATTCTGAATTACTTTAGAGAAAACTCACATTTTGTTGGTTATGCTTTTCATTTGTTGGGTTCGGTTGAAATTTCACTATAGAAAATGCAGGTTCTGACTACTGTAGTTATTGAAATGGATTGTTAGCACATGTGGACCCTTGCTGAATCATGGTGGGGAATAAAAACATAATCCACATATCATAGAAGTTTTTCACCTCAGTTTTGGGTAGGAAGACTACAGAAACCAGATTACCCTCATTAGGCCTCTATAAGGAATCTTTAAATGCTGCTGCCTTAAGTGAACCAAAATAATACAATTTTCTCCTGAAAAAAGGAACAGCTTCATTACCTCCATGAACATACAGAGATACACATATCTGGCATTGATACAAAAAGTACATTTGGAACCTACGATAGGAGCAACACACAAATCTGAACTTGCAGCAGAAGTGTTAAAGGATAAACATTTATAAGTACCCAGAAAAAGAAGAACAAGGGAAAGCTAACATGAATTAACAATCTTCTGAAATCTAATTTTTGCTTCCATAAATAGAAGAAAACAACTCTTTATGGAAACAAATATGCACCAATCTTAACTTATCCTTCATGTAACTGTAAACAGAAAAAAGCACCATATTCTTAAAATAAGATTTACATCAGCTTCTTACTCATTCTTCATACTGAATATCTCTTAAAGCATTGCATTTAAAATTGTATGACTATGTTTCAAGTAGAAGAAACCCTAAATCATGCAATGAAATAAATAGAATGTGTTGGGTTCAATACTCTCTTCTCAATAATGTCAGGCATACAAAATGATTGAAAAAATGCTATGCTGTGACGTATTAGCATACTGCCAATGGCACACTACCTCAGTCTGCAGCAATGTAGTTGTAGTAATTAATGAATAAATTGCTTATTTAATTATTTTTAATTCAGTGTTTTACAGAGTTGAATTGCTGGTATTTCTAAGAGGACTCATTTAATCTGTTAAAGAACCCAAGGCCAGTCAAAAACATACAATAGCAAAGTTTAAATTTCATTAATGGTCTCTATTAGTACTAAACTCATAGATAAACTGAGGTACCAGTTGTTTCAATGCACAGCAAGAAAGCAACATTGCTTTACACACAGTACTGTTCAAATCTGTGGTAACCAACACATTCCTTTAAATAATAAAAAAAAGTATAACTTTTGGGTAAGAGCAACATTACTCTTAGGACCTTTACACACCTCCGTCTCTCCCTGACCTCTGATGTTGAGGACACAGTGCCAGAAGTAGCTGTAGTCATGGCTGTAGTAGTGGCTGCAGCATTTACAACAGATGGTGCAACAGGAACGGTCACTGCTGTAGGAACACTGTCCTTTTCTTTCTCAGTACTATCCTCAGCCCACAAACGATTTGAGGTACTACAGCATAACAAGCAGCAACACAAAAAAAGAGAAAAGGAAACAGCTAAACAATGAAAGCACTTTACTAAACAACTAATAACATGTAAATTGAGGGATGGATTTTTTTTTTAAGAAGCAAACTGAGAAAGGTCTCTACTATGAAAGCTCAGCTTGAGCTATTAAATTGAATAAATTAAGAATCACCAGTTCACAACAAATGAACTTTTATTCTTCAGACCCTTCTAATATTTTATTTATTGTTTTATAACAACATGGCTTTCATGTTACAGTAGAAAGCCATTCACAATTTTTGAGCCAAATTGTATAAAATCAAAACAAATTTAACAGTGAAGTGAAAAAATCCAGAGCCCCAGGATCTACTAAACAAGAACGCATGCACATACATAAGCACACAGTAGACCTGACAAAAAAAGGAACAAAATGTCCTGGTGCCATTACCTGCTTTGTACACCTGCTGAAGTAGAACCTGTTGTACTCTTCGTAGTAGTGTTTGTGCTGGCAGGCAGCGTTTTCTGAGGACCAGCAGAAGAGGTAACTGTTGATGCAGTACTTGGAACATTAGAACTTATCAAATCATCTTGTCTTCTACCAAAGGAGCCACTGAAGGAAAGACATGTAAAATGACTGCATTTATTCCTTAAATTTACTCATTAAAATATCACCAAACTGTGAATGATCTATTAAATTTCTGCCCACGTATTCTGTGCCTCAGTTGAGTCTTGGAAACTTCTGGTGCAAAGGAAGCATTTTTCCATTGTTTCCTCGGCTAGGACTTTTAATCTATGATTTTGGAGGGCAGCAGGAGTGTCTCTTAGTCCCAAACATTTCTTTACCAAAGAGGATAAAGAATGGAATCTCACTCGTTTATGTAAGAATGTCTTGATCACATCTACTAAAGCATTCACATAGGGTCCCCAATGTCCCATTTTTAAACTGCTGTTTCACCCACACTGAATACCTCAGAAAATGCAGAAACTTACTGCACAGCTTGTCAGGAAATAAAATGTCATCAATACCACTCCTCTTATAATTTGAAAGCAATTAAATATATGGCCCCATTTTAAAAAAATCTTTAATAATTCCCAGGAAGAATAACCTCCCACTCAGGTTTTTTCCTTGCTCTTCAAGCTATAAAGCAGACCCAGTGATTTACAAGAAATAAATATGCATTATGCTGTATGAGACAGCCTGGTTACTGATAACATCAATGTCAAGACTCAAAAAAATGCTAGGTATGTATCATGTACATCAGCAGCACGTACCAATATGCAGTTTAGTTATATGACTCTTCTCCTTGATCTATTCATTTTAGTTATTTATTGCCCCACTAATTACAATTAAGAATTTCACTCAAATAGCTACACACTACACAATGCAGCAAAATTAATCATGTATTATATGTGCAGCATATGATTCCTCCTGAGAAAATTCTGCAAGTTAGGAATCAGCACACCTGAGAACTGTTCTTGCATTTTCATAATTTACTTTGCATTCAAATGAATTTTATGCATTCTGTGATGCTGATACTCAACATAGGTATGGCTATAATTTACAGTTAAGGCTAGCAGTCCAATACCTCCAAGACTGTTATGCAAAAACCAGAATTCAACAGTGTTTTCCCATTTTTCATATACCAAGCAGAATTATATCCATTTCAACATTTAAAATAATTATCTTTGACTACTGACCTAATCTGGAAACTGTCAAATGAACCCCAAACTGAACTAAACCATAGGAAAAAGAAAGCATCTAACTTTAATTGCATAGTTTAAAATCAGCACAACCACTGCATCAGCATACAAGTGCATGTTTAAAACCAGCACAACCATTTCAATACACACTTTGCAATTATTATGAACATGGCAATACGTTACCATTCAGTTTTAAACTGTCCTTACAAAATTATTTAGTACTTGCTAACTTCTAACAGGAAATCCCATACCTTCTTTGATAACTTGTGTTTAATGATGTAGGACCTTCATTCACATTGTTTTTCTTGACATCTTCCTCCCATTTTCTCCTGGTGTAGGAACTGCCACCACGTATTGAACTAGCAGACGAATCCCTGTAAAAGAGATTTGAGTTTAGCAAACTCTCATTAAAGAAGGCTGTTCTTGATGTGAGTTGAACAGGAGTTTAGAATTAAAATCCTGGATAACACACTTAAAATAGACATAACTTGAATAAGGAAAAAAATTGCTTTTATGGACAATAATTTTCAACCTCTGTGAAAAGATACCACATTCATAGTAACACAATGAGAAACATAAGAAAGCAGCATCAAAACAAAACTGCTAAAGAGGATTTAATCAACATTAAATCAATTGTTGCTTTTTATCTGTGGTTATTGCTAGCTTTGTTTTTCTCAAAAAAGGAATAAGACATATTTCTGTTTGCTCCTGAGATTATCCATGCAATAAAGGAAATCTCCTTGGCTTTTTTAATAGCTGATTTGATGGCATTTTTCATTCTTTGATGTTATAAGAAGTTTAAAAGCTAGCAAGCCTTTAGAACTCATGATACTCTAAGACCAGCGTAACTAGGCTTGCAGTAGCCATTCCTGAGGGGTCTGACATGCATCACTAGCTGACATGACTTCAGTTATAAGGAATTTCCAGGCTGTTGTTGCAGTTTATAGCAGCAAGGAATGACCATGCAAAAATCTACTTAGAAAAACTATCCCAAAACCTGACCTACAAAAACTGAATTTCTAATAAAAATATCAGCTCAAGATTTGAAGTTCAGACAATAGGAAGAATAAAACATATCTTTCACAAAATTATATATAAGGCAATCAGGTGTACAAGGCAAAATAAAACAAAACTTTGAAAAGATGTATTCTATGTTCAGATACCTTTGGCCATCATAATGTGCCTCTTTCTGCATGAAAATGTATGTTAGCACTCCTGCAGTTGGAAACTGTTGGTTTTCTGCATGATCTATACAGCCAGACACTGCTATAAATTAGCAATGCCTTAAAACATGAAAGTTTGTCAGTCACTCTAAAATCTTATTTAAATTTCATATTAAAATAGATATATATAACTTCATAGTCACCTGTTTTCTTTTTCATCAATGTCGGAGGTACTGGCCAGCCGTCTTGGTATTGTAGGTGCAACATATGCAAGTCGAGTTCCTTTTCCATCTTTCTCCTGAAAGACAATTTTTTTTTTGTTAATTGTTACTATTATTGATTATCTTCTCTGGAAAAGCATCATTATGCCAACTCCAGCCATGTTTATTATGACCCAATTATACCAATGAGTTTTAAGCTTTAGTTAAATATCATAAATGACTAGAACAGGAAAAGGAAACTGCTAATGTTTCCATTCTAGTGATGCTAATGACTTATTTCTGCTTTGCTGCAGTACACTTCCAACAGTGATTCCTGAAAGAAACTGATTCAATATTTTTATATAGCACAGTACATTATTATTCTTAATCTTAAAATCATATAAACATTTGTATTTCTAATAGAAGCACAAGTTTTATTTTCTTCAGCTACCTGAACAACACTTAGTTTAGTGTATCCATGTATAGTTACAGAACCAATTTTTGAAAATAAAAAATCACTACAAAATGAAAATTAATACAAAAAAGACTTCTTTAAATTATAAGATTCTTTTAGCATAATTGTCCAAGTAATGCAAATGCTATCAAGTCTCTCATGTCCCCAGATTGTAAAAGTGACTATTAGCTTTGCAAGTCCTAAAAAGGAATGAAATGCCCAACCTATGTACCAGGTCACCAGACACTGGAGGAGCATATTACATTTTGAGGGATACTATAAAGAAGCTCTGTAATTCAACTTTTTGGAATTTTAGTAAAGATCAGATGTGTACTACAATCTTACTTCTGTAATACATCATTAACATCTATATTAAGAAAGGTGTATGAATTCCTCAAAATGTTCTTTTATCTTGAAAATTATTACCTTTTCTTTGTTGTCCAGCGAAGAGGAAAGTCTAGGACTTGATGCAGAACGCATAACACCTGCAGAGTCCTTTTCTTTCTGAGCTTCCTTGGAAGCAGTAATCTCTGCAAGTGCACCATAACTACCAGTTTTTCTAAGACCCAACCTCCATGAAGCAGGAGATTCATCTTTCCTCTCTTCATCTTTGGGAGAAACCTTGGTTGTAGATGTTGGAAACTATAAAACACATGAAAATGAATTTACATTATTAATTTACGTTATCCATTGTAATTTATGCTCCTTGCAAAGATTCGAGAACACAACTGTTTTTAATAATTGTAAGTGCTGAATCTGTAGGGAAGTTGTAGTGAGAGGCAACCTATGCACTTTTCACTTGAATTAGTCAATGAGATCAGAAACATAAGACCGGTCAAGGAATATCACTCTCATAAAAGTTAGCTTACAAAAACCCACACTTCATAATACACGCTGTGAACTTAAGATAAAAACTTAGACACATGCAAAACATTTTGATTAAACATGTTATTTTGCAACTTGTACATAAACCTGTGCACACAAGAACCTCACCATAGATTTTTCACCCTTATTGGGCACAAGAACAATGCCAGTTTTGCGCAAGCCCTGCCTCCATGATGCAGGATCTACTGACTCCACGACAGGCATGATAGGAGGAATGAAATCATACTAAAGCCAATTAAGACAAGACAGAGATAAAGATTGAAAGATAGGAGAAGAGAAACCAAAGGTTGTTTTAACAACATATCGTTTGTTCCTAGGTTTATATTAAGTGTTTATATTAAGGTTTATATTAAGTAACTCTTCAACAACACAAAAATACCAAAAAAGCAGTAAGACACTTAAAACCATAGTAACAGATTACAACTAAATGTAACACAGCACATTTAGCTCATTCAGAGACAGAATTACAGCTTGCATAGAAAAGAACAACAAAGCCCGTAACCTTACAAGGTCTGTGGCCTAAATCTTCACACTGTTGAGAATACTGGAAGATTCATACTAACATACCCCTCTTCTTACCATGTATCACTCATATCCCTGAATCACATCCCACACTAGCATGGCTATCCTGCTAGACCTGCCTTACCTTCAGCACCTGCAGCCACAGAGCAGCATTACTGAAAGCAATGCAGACTGAAGGAAACCTGACTTTACCTTACTATACTGTACCCCTTGGTTTGGCCATCTATGCTGTAAAAGCAGAAGTGCAGCTACAGCAGATCAGATGGCACAGACCCAAAAAGGCAGGTGCAAATGTAGGTGCAAGATCACACACACAATGCTGCTTTACCTTCACTGAAAAAGCCGTTTAAAGCATTTTGATTTACTGACAGGAGCTGTAATTGCTCCTTTAGATCACATGTACCTGCTATGTTACAAGACAATAATTTTTACATAAAATGCATTTATTTTGTAGCTACAGAAGGCCCTGAGCTTTTCACATAGTAATGGGAAGATAACTACAGTTTATTTTTAGCCACCACCTTTTACCTAGAAGACCAAAATATAAATCATTCATTTCTGCATAACAGAATCTGAAGTGTATTGATGATTTATAGAAGATTATAATTTAGCTTAAAATCAAGCTTATTTCCTCTCTTGTGAAAATACTCCCCCATATCATTAAATCACATACCTGCACCTGTTATATTAAAGTATACTTTGTACCATGATTCACTATTAGATTCTATTGTGAATATGGAAGTATAACCCCAGTAAGCTCCCACAAGCAAAATACACTTTGTAGTATTCTCCTAGTAGTATGTCTTTTCTCTCTACTGTGGCTGCAGTATATCATGGTTACCACTTCTCCTGAACATGCTTTTCAGATGCATCAGTACAGGGCTACACTTTGATGATGTGTACAGAAAAGTTGTAATGAATGACAAATGAAGATTTATTGCCTTACTATCCAGTTTGCACCAACATTCTTAAAATTTGACTTCTGACTATGCATTCTTATCTACTGCAATTTTTTTCCCCAAGGCATACCTATCTTCCCCTTACCAAGTAGAACTTAAGTTCATAAAAATTAACTTTTCCTTTAAAGTTATAAGCTGTAAAAGCTTCCAGCAAGCAATAAGGCTTTGCTAGGTGAGGCTTTGAGCTATGCATTGAAGAAATTACGTGTCCCTATTATTTAGCTCTTCCATGAGGTCCTAACCATATTAAAACAGGGATGAGACCCACACAATTTTTTACTTCTTATTTCAGGTATAATTTTCAACTTCTGTGCCAAAGCACTAGCTGAATACTTCAAGGGATTCCAAAAAGTCACATAGTCATGCCTGCTTCCCTTGAATTAAGTGCATGAGAAATACAGGCACAGAGAGACACGAGAACTGTAGCTTCTAGAAATTCTGGAGGAGTTTGGCACATTTGACACATTTGCTCCTCACATTTCTGTGAGGAGCAAGTTCTCCTCACAGAAAAGACTTTCAAAAGACCAAGTTTAGTTTCAGAAAATACAAACAAGGACTCCACTCACTATGCAACAGAATTTTTCTTTTTTGGAAGGATTTTACATTCAGCTATTTCATAGTTCTGTATTTTATGCCCCTGTGCAGAATTAAAGCCATTCAAAATTTAAAAAAATAAATAATTAGCAGTTTCTGGAACAGAAAGCATTTTAAGAATCTGTGCATATTTTTATCAATTCACCGGTTAACCAAATCTACTACTTACACTAGAATCAAAAAAGGTAAGATACACTTACACAGAAAAAAGAAAGAGAAAATAGTAAGATTGCGATATAATAGAAAATAAAAAGGTACTTTCTTTTACCTTCTTTACAGGTGATGTAGGTGCCCCTTGGCCACCAGCTACTGAGGGTGCCATCACAGCTACTGATGCTGATTGTGTACTTGTGGTATTTGCATTATTAGCTGCCAAGGTTTTGGTCTTATCTGCAAAATATTTACAAGATTTAATCTTCATTCTGAAAATTCACAATTTCAATACCTTTACAACACCGAAATGAATTTCTATCCAAGAAATTTCACAGTTAACTTTATCACCAGCATTTTATTATTTATTCCTCAGTGTTTTCTCTCTCACTCCCAATTTACATCTTTGCTAGGTCCACCTTGTTTTCCTAAAAGGTTGTGCATGTAAGAATTCTTTTGTATTCATAAGGTGTTACCACTCAGAGGTGCAGAGACAGAGCTACGGAACCATTCAGGTTCAAAGTGACTCAGGAGATCACCTAATTCACCCTTCTGCCCAAAGGAGGGTCAATATTGCCCATGAATCAGGTTGCTCAAGGCTTTGATGAGTCACATCTTGGAAACCTCTGGAGACAGAGATTTCAGTCTTCCACACAGCCTGTATTTTATCAGCTGGCTAATGACTATAAAAACTGTAACAGTAGGAGATATGTTAACATCTCATCTGATCTCATTAATGCATATGAGTATCTCAAAGGCAGGTGTTGAGGATAGTACCAGACTCTTCTTGGTGCTGTCCAGTGACAGGACAAGGAGCAATAGCCATAAAGTAAAATACAAGAAGTTCCATCTCAACATGAGGAAGAACACTGAGGGTGGCAGAGCACTGGAAGAGGCTCCCCAGGGAGGTTGTGGAATCTCCCTCTCTGGAGACATTCAAAACCCACCTGGATGCTTTTGTGTGTACCCTGCTCTAGGTCACCCTGCCTTGGCAGGGAAAGTTGGACTTGATGATTTCCAGAGCTCCATTCCTATCCTTTGATTCTGTGATTCTTTAATAGCTAATTCAAACTACAGAAGGCAGGTGCCAATTTAAAGTGAAACCTCTATTCCCTGATAACTATGCATGTCTGAGTTCAAAGAAATAATTAACTGTACAGAGAAGCCCATCAGGAATTCTGGTCACCAGAATGAGCTGAGGCAGAGACTTGCCTTCTACAGCACCAATTTTCCATTTGCTTCATTCCTTCTTTGTCCCTTGTTTTTCTTACCTACATTTCACTGCCTACCTACCTAGTCTCTTCTGCTTTGTCTAAATTCCTCCCTCTGTCCATGGTTCATGAACCTTAACCCTTCTTACATAAACTCACAGAAAATATCATGATTGAGATACAACAACTGCTGTCACTGCTTTTGCTTGAGCTTCATAATGTTACACCTCACTTCTGTTTCATGTATTCAAACTGCACATTCTTCAGGCTTGGCTGTTGCCTCCTATTTATTAGTGCAGTATGAAGCAACATGGGGTTCAATCCCCACTGGTTTTGGCCCTACTACAGACACATCTTTCCATCTATGTGACCCATACAGCCTAACAGCAATTAATTTAGAAAGTACACAATGCAGTGTTCTCACAACTAACATTTAAATTCAATAAAGAACTGATATACAATTAGAAATTGTGTAATCCACAGTCTTGGTCTTACACACTTGTTTTAGTTATGGACATAGTTGAACAGATGTTTTGAATGTTAGTTATGCAGTAAACAAATACAAAGTTTACATCTTACATGACCAACAGCGCTATATAGAAAGTTCTTTTTAAACACAAGTGAAAAAAATGGCAAAATTCTAGGTTATAAAAAGCTGAACAAGGCAATGTGGCCTGACAGTATGATTTGAGATGATGCACAGGCATATCTGATAGAAATTTGTAAGTAATACATCTTTAAAATACACAGAAATGATCCCTTAAGTTTTAGCTTTCATTTCTCCAGGTTCTGTACTACATTAGTATATAACTCTGAACTTCACATGAAGTGTTAGCAAGTTCTCCTCACAGTTTAGACAAAACAATCCTTTTCCAGCCCGAGAACCAACAACACCGTTGCAGCTTCAGGCCCTGAAGTTACAAACAATAGTGAACTGAGAAGAGCAATCTGGGAGGATGGGACTTCATAACCTGAAGTTGTAATTGGACATTTAACCCCAATATGCTAATGGACCAAAAGTTACAGAAGTCTAAAAACTCGTGACCCGTTGTCCATCTTGGGTGTAGCCTCGGCCAGGCTCCTCTACTGCCCAAGGTTCATCCTTTGAAGGCCTTTAATAAATGTCTACTTTATTCCTTTAACACTATCTAGCCTCTGTTCTAGATCAGAACATCAGAAAAAGTTATCAGGAGTGAAAGCATGGAAGGATAAAAATGGATTTTTCACAACTGTATTCTGAAATTATTTCTAGAGCAGCAAGAACAGTTTTATGCATGACTGAGCTGATATGGACGAATTAAAAAAAAATTACAGTATGTAAAAAAAAGTAAGTTACAAAACCTGAATTGATGAAAATCTTGTTTTTTATCTTGTTTCCCTGTCCTTTGCAATAAGCTACTTTCACATTCATTTTTCCCTTCTTGGTCTTACAGACAGAAGCGTATTTGTATTTAAATTATATTCTCAAGTAACCAATGAAACAAAAACATAGGAAAACATTTTAATTATCCCAAAAGATCTGTAATCACCATCACCATTTCCACTACTTCAGAATACTGAACACTGTTAAAATATTTCACAACCAGAATGCTCCTTATAATAATAATAATAACAACATTTTTCACTAGAAAAATCTTTAACTACCTTAAGCTGAATAATGGTAAAAAAAAGGGAAAGTAAAATCTTGGAACAAAGAGATGTAGCTCTACAGGGAAAAGCTTCAAATGTATCTTGCCAAATAAAGTATGATAAAGCCTTGTTGATATTAAAACCCCCAAAGTTTACATAAATTAATTCTTGTGTCACAGTCAAATTTTCCTGGCATGAACTACTGGCAATGAAGAGAACACAGTTACCAGAGTCATAAAGTTCAGCAGACATTACAGTCAGCTCAGTGACAGAGAAATTACTACATGTTATATATCATAAGTAGTTTAAGTTTAGCAAAGCTCAGTAAATAATGGATGCAAGTACATTAAGGTAAAAAAGTAATTACAAAGCCTGCCAGACACTTTTTTTCAGCTTAATACTGAAATGCTGGATTATTTCAAACTACAAAAAAAACCCCAAAAAAACAAAAACAAACAAAAAAACCACCACAAAAAGCCAACCAACCAACCAAACAAAAACCACACACACAAAAAAACCAAACCAAAACAAAAAAAAATCCCAAAACCAAACCATAATAGAAAGTTTGGGTTTGCAAGTTATTTTTTACTTCTACCTATAGTAAATGCTTATGATAGATTGGCTAGCTCTAAAATACATTCTTAGTCTTATCTTTACAGGTGAATAAATTAGAATGTATTAAAATAAAAACTGACAGCTCACCAAAACCAGTTATTTTTAAAAGTTTATGTATAAAATATTAACAAGCTGTTTCTAATGACAGCTATGTCTATGTATGGTAGTGCTGCACTACAATTCTAATATTCTTTATTAGGATTAAACATATATCTTTAAACACTAATTGCCAGACACTTCTTTTCTGGTATGAAGGAAAAATATATATGTTGCTCTTTTATCACTACTTATTACTATAATTGTTCAAGAAAACAACAACAACACAGAAATTCCATTTCTCAAGAGAGAAATATAGTAATGTGCATACAATGCAAAGCTTTTCAAAGAACATACCTCTTGAAGTTATATATGAAGTAACAGTCAACAATAAAATAACACCTTTAAAAGTTTATCTCAGTACACACTGAAAATATATGCACTACTACTTTATGAATACCTGAGCCAGATTAAGTGGTAATTACTTCATGATGGTAAGAACAAATGAGAATGTTTGCACTTCTGCTGATCCAATCTCTGTACCAGTTCCACAAGCAAACACTGCTAAGAAGTCTTCCTCTCTAATTTGATCTTCTAACTTTTTCAATGTTTCTGAGATGCTACTTCAGGCTGATATTGTTCTATCTACCCAATTAACAGCATCTATTTGTTAAGCCGCCAATCAAGTAAGATGGCTTATAGCTTTAACCAAAGTAACTACCAGTAAAGACATCCATTTGATAAAGCTGTTATGACTCAACTTTAGACACATAAAGTTATTTTAAATTAACCAGAAACTTAGTGAAATACAGAAGAATAATATACTTAACTCTATATCATGTGATATTAAACTAGAAACTTTATATATTTAATGAAATGCAATGCTCCAAATAACATACCTGTCTCTGCTTCAGATTCTGAGTCATCATCCTCTTCCTCTTCACTAGAACAACTGGATTCATCCTTCTTTCCTTCTTCTTCTTCGTCTGCTTTCTCTTGCTCCAGAGACTCTATACTAGATGCATTCTTTTCTTGCTCCATAATCAGCGTCTCCTTACTGAGTTTGTAAAGAGAAATATTTACTAAGTACTGAAAAATTTACTAAAGCCTGTTAAGAGTAAGACCTTGTGACAGCTTGTAAAGTCATATTTTTAAAGATTTCATATTTTTTCTTATTTTTACTTACTTTTTAAATGTTTTCTGTGTCTGATTATTATCCATGTTGGCTGTGGATTCAATTAGGGGAGATTTCTTTTCACGTTTTTCACTATGAAGCTTCAAAACAGAGAATGATGCAGTTTTATTGTTAGAATGATATCAGTGTGACAAAATAACAAATGGAGGGGAGATTCTAAATACTACAAACACTAGAGTGTTTAAAAAATTTCAAACAGTATGAATGTTCAAAGCTCTAAAAATCTTAGAAATTGTTATTCCAAGTAAGATACTCATTGTTGATACTTCAGATCATAAAATGCCCACTGGACAAGGCAAGTTGTAGGCTGCCTTTTTTCTTCCAAAGCGTTTTTGCTCACCATAGGTGACCGAGTAAGGGCATAAAAGACCTTTTGAGATGACTGTGGCATCACCTGAACTGAAGCCCTGAATTTCAAACTTTGGTTTTAATTTATATCCTCCCCTGAGTTGGATATCACATGTATATTAAAATGCACCATACATATATATATATATATATATACAAGGCCTACCAGATTCTGCTTCTTTTGTAACTCTTCTAAATATCCTAGAATATCTTCATCTGCCACATCAAACGCTGTCTGGCCCTGGAGAAGGGGAAGAAGTAAAACACCATAATTGTACAACAGACTTTAAATGTATCAGACCACTATGTCGTGTCATCACATGATGATGCAGGTTAAGGAGAACGTTTAGAGAGAGAAATTGGAAAATATGAATCAAGCTCTACTGCAAACTGTTAGTCTGTCAGTACTTGAAAACAATTTTGCAATATTCCTTTGTTTTGGGGCAGGGCAGGGGGGGCGGAGGAATTCAAACAAAACCATTTACACCTGATGAGCAAACACATTTTTAAGTGATAAAGACATGACAATAAAATTTTCTTGTTGTTTGAAGGAAAAAAACAACACCATGAATGAAAAGTAGATTGATGAATATAATCTCCCAGTATTAGTGCCAAACAACTGTTCACAATGGCAGCTGAATGGATGGATCCTGAGCAGTTCAGTATCCTGCCCATCTTAAGACTATCACATATAGCTTGATTTTTTAAGCTTTCATGATTTAAGGGAGTTGCACTAAATTTAAGCAGTCATGCATTCACATTTTACAGCAAAACTGTATTTTACTATTTACATTCTATTTTGTAAAAGATCTGCTTGTTATTTCTCCTTAGGGTATGATTTCCATGGGACATATACTTGAAGGCTGGAATCTAGGCAAAGTCCTATATTCTCTGGCATAAATGCAGCTGCATCAACATGCTAGGTGGGCTTACTGAGATGTTGGGGGGATCATGACAAGATTAAACTAGGAAGTACTTCTGTACAATAACCAGTAATAAAAACAGAGCTGTCATCTAAAAGTGGCCACAGCAGCTTATAAAAATAATGAAAGGCGTTCCTGTTTGTGCTTATTTCAGTTTCTCAAAATGTTAACTAAAGGCAACCTTTCAACAAACATTAGCCAAAGCAGCCTGAGGTTTTCTGCCATGTGAACTATTATCACAAGTTTATATTTGCATTATAACTACAGTTTTTAAAGTGACCTTCTACTTTCAGGTAGCTATTAGGTGTTGTTAGATCTACTATTACCAGAAAAAGTCACTTTGCAGAAAACTGTTGCAGTTGCAAGGTTACATCTTAAATCCAAATCTGCAACAGCTGATAGCTGAAGTCATGTGCCTAAACAACAATGGCTGAGTTCTCTGAGTTGCTAAGCACATACAACTGAAACCAAATCCAGAGCTTTCAATCCTCGTATCTCCAAAAGCAAAATGCTTACTAGCTTACTAAAGAACAGGCAAATCTTTCCTAGGCTGCAGAAGCAAGTCCATATACAAAAAAATAGCTGATATGTCTCTAAGCCTCCTTTTTTCTTATTCTTGTCCAATGGATTTGAACGTACATTTTTATGAGAGTGCTCTCTAGTGTATAACATCCACAATTTCACAACCCCAGTAAAATATCTAACACATACACTGGAAGAAGAACAGAATCCATCTGTAAAACACACTACAAAGAGAAGAATGAGAGCTGAGCACTTACATGGCTGAATGAACTGTCTGAATGGCCAAATGAGCCATTCTTTTGATGGCTATGTGAACTCATGAAGATATTTGTGTCTATTGGGAGCAAGATCAGCAAGCTACACAGGCCATTGCATAAAAGTCAAAGAAAGAGGAAGCTTTCAGGTATGTCCAGGGGGTCCAGGGTGGCCTACAAGTTTCTTCCACCACACCCAAATCAGCATAATTTAATGATGACTCTTCAATATACCAACACAAACTGATTTTAAGAGTTGAAACACTACCCAAAGGCATCATCATCATCATCTTCAGAGATAAAAAAAAGCCTGAATGCAGTCCATCAAGTCACTAATTTTGTACCTCTGAAATGCCAATAAACTCTTTCAATTATTAATTTCCAAGTGAATGTATCATTTAATACAGAACTAAACATAAAGTTGGCCTGGAAATTAATTTAGACAATCAGAGAATTTAGTTCTGAACACAACCATGCTCTTTTGACAACACATGCATTATATAAAGCTCCACGTACAGTAAACAGCAGTTTATCATCACTTTTCTTACCCTGGCTTCTAAAGTCACTTTAGAGACCAGAACTTTGTATCTTGACAAGGATTACATAAAAATCCTACCACTTTGTTGACAGCCTCCATATCACATAGGTTTTCCACTAAAATGCGACATGCTTCTTCTTTACCCCAGTGAGCAGCAGCATGAAGTGGTGTCCAGCCATCATAATCTTTAATATTTACATCGTAGTGAGCCTGTATTAAAAGCCTGAAGAAATTAAAAGAAATAGACCTTGACACTGCTGACAGGGATAAATAAATTTTCGTAAAAATTGTAAAACTGCTCTATGGTAATATCTTTCTCCTTTTTTCTCACAGATATTTTAATTGGGCTACTGAAAATTGATTAATTTTACTTCTCACAGAAACATCTGCCTTTTCATTGTTTAGCAGGTGTGTATACATATTTTAAGGAAAATTCAAGAAAAACAGCCTTTGCAATTTTCTTGTCTATTCACTTCGTCTCCAAAAGACCATTGTTTCTACAGTTAGATATTCTTCTCTGTACATGCAGTAATAGGCAAAAGGCTTTTTAAGGAAAATAGTTATAAAATGTAAAAAAATTGTTAGATAGAGTGTTCTTATCAGTAAACTATTAAAACCTCCTTACATTCTAAAATTAGCTGTTTGAAACTTTCACTTCCTGTCATTAACTTTTTGCAAAAATCTAGTGTTCACTACATGCTTCAACTGTTCTCTGAGAGGGAGAAGAGGTCCTCTAAGAGGGGACCTGCTGTTCTGCCTGTATTCAGCACTCACGTTCATCATGGTTCTCAGGTAAGCATCAAAGTGACAAAGGACACTTAACCTAACAAGTAGTTTTATGTAAAGAGCTGTCTGAACCACTTACAAATCACATAAGAACAAAATATTGTTTTCAAAAAATTCTCAGCTTCTCAAGAGCCAATATACATATAGTAATATCCTCCAGTGAGTCAACTTTCACACACGTTGAGCTGAAAATCTTGCAGTCTTGCATCCAATACAGAGCACATTTTTTGATAATTTGAAGCAATCACAAAAATTGCTGGCACATATGTTTTGCCTCTCCTAGCAGAAATATACAGACTGGACTACAAAAAAATACAGTAACTGAGGGAGCTAAAAACCACCCAAACAGTTACAGATACAACTCCCTTACAACTCCCCTGCTACTCTAAAACAAAAATTATTCTTTTTCAACAGAATAATTTGTCTTCATCATCAGGGTTTTATGAAACAGAACTCCCATTCAACAAATTGCTCTGCAGACCTTAAAGGCACCAATACTCACAAGTCAGGATGTGTGCTCATTTTCACTTATGTTACAGTCTGTAAGAAATCCTAGCACTGCTAAAGCAGTCAACTAAATTTATAATACATTAAAGCAATGTATTACTAATTATGATTTACTACAATAAAAGCAGAGCTTTGATGAAAAAGAAATTAAATATGTTATGATATGTATTGATATTACATTAATGAAAAGCTGTGAACTAGGGGACACCTGAAGTCTAAAGCTCTCCAGGGAAGACTTCAAGAGTCATTGAATTGAATTGAATTTTAAAAACATTATCAAAACACAAAGTTAAATTATCTGGTTTTTAAGTGTAAAAACTTTTAGCCTGAATTACAAACTCTGCTTTATGTATGGAAATAAAATATGAAAATATGCACCAACTAGGATGCCAACTGCATATGCAGTTATAAAGTTTATATGCATTATAAAAAGGTCTTAAGCTTGTTTACATAAGATTCCTTAAGAAACAGGGCAAGTTTCAATCAACTTTCTTCTCTTACAAGTAAGTATTTAGGTTTAACATGTATACTGTATTCATATTTTGAATGGCTTAGGATAGAAAGCTAACCCCATCATGATTTATGAGTGCTTGGAAACATAAAATCAAGCTTTGAGCACAGATTGTTCTAGAGACTGGGATTTTCAAGATACACTCTGTAAATGTTATAAGTGCCCAATTTCAAGCAGCATTACATCAAGACAATAAAATAAGAAAAAGTTAACCCACACTTACTTTAAGACTTCTGTATAGCCCTTAGCAGCAGCTACATGAAGTGCTGTACCACCGGATTTTGCATGTCTGACATCATTTATATGGCCACTGTTGAGCCACTGTCTTGCATCTCTTAGCATTATTCGTTCTTCTTCTTTTCGAGCTGATTCTATATCAACCCCTAATTCAGACAGGGAGGGGGAGAGGGGAAAAGAAGACACAAAATGTTTTAGTTCAAATATTTCAATTCAATTATATAACAAACTTTATGCTGCATTTATATGATACAGTAAAAAAGCCCTAAACCTGAAAAATGTTCAGAGTTAGACATGAGTATTTTTGGGAAGATGAATTCCAAGGTTATGGAAACATCCAACATTGTAAGACATCTTGCATAATGCCTTTTTTAACAAAAGGAGGGGTTGGGTGGACAAAGTATTGTAAATAAATAATAGTAAAAATCAATCTACTAAAACTCTTCAAAATCATTCTTCTAAGAATGTCTACCATCACATTAATAACCACCGAAGTGACTTTCTAAAAAAAAAGAGAAAAATTGTATTTTAATTTTCTAAGCAACAAAAAACAAGTCTGTGATGATGCACCTGTATACAGCAGAAAACAGATGAAGTTGTTTTACAAGCAGACCTCTATGGGAAGAGAAACAATCTTGCTTCTTAATACTGATGACAAAATGGAGCTGTACCTTGTAAACTTTCTAAAGCATGAATCACAAATATTTTACACAAATAGACAACACTTTGGATATTGCACTTTCATAGCTCTACTAAAAAAAAACCACCCAAAACACTGAAAACTTTTTACAGTATGTCTCACAAAAAAAAAATACACTGATGGAAAGGGAGAAACAGTCTATCATCACAATACCTACAAGTATATATATTCCAAACCCTGAAAAGGAATGCAAACACATTATTTGCAAGCATTTTTGTAAGTACTACTCAAAAACATAGCAGGAAAGAGATCTTGAACTATGCATGAGCATAATTCTAACTATTGATGGCTGAATAGTGACAACTCATAAGGAGTACTCATAAGGAAAGGCAATTTAGAAACTGTGATCATCAAGAGCACAAACTGCATCTGGGTTGACCTCTATAAGAAAATCAGTGGCCAAACCTCCAACAAAATGTTTTTATGTGTATGATTTCTCTAATCTTACACACTGGTATGCAGGGACCTGGGCAATATATACTGTAAAACTTAATGCTAAAGACAATCAAAAGATAAAACTTCACTAAGTGCCATAAAGTAACCAAAGCAAGTTAAACAGTCAGTGTTCTGAGGACTTGACCAAACTCCTAGACTCACTGAATTAATTGCCCAGCAAAACAATTTTAATCTTTACAATTTAGGTAAAAAATTAATAGAATTACATTTTATCAGAAACTGACAAAAAACCGTAATTTGGATGTTGAGTCTCCAAGATGCAGGAAGACATACAAGGCTGTTGAAAGACTCAGCAGAGGAAAAAGCTGAAAAACCTTCCAAGTATGACAAATATGAAGAATGAAGACCAGGAACTCTGAATCTATAATACACTGATAATCACATATTCTCATTCCTCAGGAAGCTCCTACATACTGATACGTGAACTACTAACTTCATGGGCGTGAGCATCTGCTTGCCTTTCAGAATGACACAGCAGTGATCAGCAGATCCTGGGACAATACTCTAGAATACAGTCATTTACATGTCAGTGTTGCCTGTAAAATACTACTATATAAATAAATAGTGTATATTTGATCATCTCTTAGTCACATTTATGTCCATTCCCTTTTTTGTAAGCTCAAAGTCCAACTGTGAATCCTTATCAGCATGAGTAACCTTTTCCACCTGAAGAATCTGAAAAAACTCCTATCAGTGTAAAACTGTTATTTACATAGCTGTTTGTTCTGAGACACTTCGGTATAAGGGAAGAACAGAGCAAAAACTCATTCCAGACCCTGATCTTGTGAGCTTCTAATGGGTCACATCTAACCTTACCAGAAAGGCCTAACAACCCAGGTGATTGTATCAAAACAGCAATGTTTTTGCAGAAAAAAGTAACTAATACTCAATACAGACTTCCATTAATATCACAAACTACTGCACTTCTGAAGCCCAAACAAAACACAGTGGTTGCAGAGGAGTAAGGGCTGTGTCAATACATTATTTTACGAGACAGTTCATTTCTGGTCATATTTCAACAGAAGAAAGCACCAGAATCTTGCCAATCTAAATAAAACATTCCACACTAATAACCGGCATGAAAATGGGAATTAAACTTTGTGGCACACAAAAAAAGGTTGTGCTCTGAGATAAATACAATTCCCATTATTAACTACAGAAAATGGAATGTAAACAGACTTTATTATACCTTGTATGGGCCTTTCTCCTTCCTTTTGTTTTCCAGACCAGGGGAAAAGCAAATGCCTATCATCTATTTCCAACCCTTTCTCCCGACGGCCCATAGATGGCAATGCGCTGCCTCCCAGCTCAGCCTCAGCCGCCGCACTCGCTCACAGCACCAGCGCGTTAACCACTCTGGCTGCCGAACAACTTATATCATTAATAATTTATTGCTAAATGCTTCCACTTTTTTTCTGATCAACAAGTGTTACTCAACAGCCCCGAACAGGTTTGAAAACAGTGTGCCGTTCAGAGAGCATTTAATGAAAATTCAGCATAATTTTAACTGCTGAATCATTGTTTCAGGACGACTCAGCCATATAAAGGCATGTTTTATAGATACTGCAGGGAAGATCAACCCACTTTTTACTTCATGAAGTGAATGTTTATATACAAATGTAATAGTTCGCATTTTATCCACATAAACAAATCTGAGTTAAGCAATACATCTGGGAGAGTCTTTTCACATTACCTATAATTAAGAATGAGGAACATGTGTTTCTGCTTGGAACAGGAGGAGTGACCACTCTTGATAGTTACTGAATAAATAGCTACCACACTGAGCCCCTGATTCACCTCACATCACCTCTCACCACTAACTCACCTCCTGAGAATGTTTCCTATAATTCAAAATAACTGCTTAAGCAGTTAAAAATAATTTTAAGAGGACATCTGATGATCCAACAGCTAAAAAAGTCACTTCAAACCATTATACATAACCCCACTCGAGCCCTGAGGAGAGACAACATTTAAAGCTGGCCAGGGCTGGCCAGGACTAAAGCCACATCTCTTTCACGTCTGCTGGTTTTCACCAGTGCAAATGAAAACTTTACTGGTAAAAGACAACTTCCACAACTCTGTGTTGAAACATTGCAGAGCAGAAACATGACAGGCCACAGTGAGAAGCTAAATAATATTTTTGATGAAGTTAATGATTTTGAGAATTGCAGTAGCCCCTATATAGGACTGACCAATACAAAAGACATTAGTCATGTGGAGGAACAACGAAACAAGTCCTTGATAACGGGTTTTTTTATAACACACAAAATAGTTTAACCATATGGAGTGCAAACAGAACAGTTGTTCAGCACTACTCCAGAATAATTTCCATAAAACACCTGATTTTGTTATCTGTGAAGTGCTTGCAACTGGGTCAAAAAAATCTTTATACCTTACTTGAGCATGTAATTTACCTTCTCACAAATTACAAAACGAAGGTAGGTTTTAAGCTTAAAAAATAATTAAGCCAATAATTCTCCATGGAAGATTAGGGTAGAAAAATATTTTCCTAACTATCAGAGTGGTACAGCTTCAGTTACAGGATAGCTATTCCCTTAGTTCACAATTCCTGCACAGTCCATTATGTCAAGTCATTCTATTTGCTCAGCAGGACACAAGAAGACACTGACCCTTGGTGCAATTTAGAGGTGTAGCATATGGGAATCAGAATGACTAAAGAAAAATAGACACTGGATAATAATCCTAGAAAATCTTTATTCTTTAATGGCCAACACTCATTACAATAGAACTTGTATAACAAGAAGATTATTTTGGATCACTGACCATCTCCTCTCTAGTCATATCAGACCTTGGAGCCTGAATACTAAAATAGGATGAGGAAACATTGCAGATCCTTCCTTTTATTAAGCCTGTAATGTCACACAGAACTGAACTGTATTGTATTCTATGATTTATTTTTGTGCATTTAGTGTCTCTAGAGACTTCCACATTTTGTCCTGTAATAAGACATGTCCTTAAAATACAGCTTGATAGCTGCCAAAAATTGGGCATAAGTACAAATTGGTGATTAACAGAACGTTGAGTAGCTGAGTATTCCGTTTTGACATTTGCTATAAAGACGTAAGGCCTGCAAAAGCAGCAAAAAAGGAGACATAACAAGTGATTCTTCTCGGATTTCTAACAGGAACAAACATCAAATATCATCACTTAAAACTCATGATGAACCTGACCAATCTTTCCAAGCAATTTTTTGCCACCAAACAACTCTGCCAATATGTAGGAAGCCAAATTTACAGCACTAACACTGCAACACAAAAACGAAACCTCATTGAATGTAGGAATAAATACATGAAAGGGTTGCAAGGCAAAAATGTTATGGAAAATGCCTACTTAATTTTCACACTGCATATTCTACCTACAAAGAGACAGGACATTTTGTCACCCAGGCTTGTTTATTTTCAAAATAAATAGCCTGGTCTTCCATTCCCCTTACCACTGAGCCAGGGCTGATCATTCCACAGACCCCAGCGTTAACTTGCATTATCAAAACTGTGGCAATGCTTTGATATGAAGGAGTGTATAATATGGAACAAATACAAATTATCTCACTGCCAGAGTGATAATTATATTCAGCTATATGTATAGCCAAAAATGAAACTGACAATGCCTCGCTGTTAACTGCACATTAAGATAAACAATTAGGTTCCTATTTTGGAGCTATTAACTTCTGTAGCCACAAAATACACAATTACGAACTTTTTAAGTGATTCTGATAATGACTAAATAATCCTTTTTTAATGCAACATTAACACACAAATTTATGTCAAATCTATATCCAAGCTAGGATGCCATCAAAGGTGCATAATTAAAACCTCACTGCTGAGACAACTGTCTCATGATTTAGTAAGACATGCACTGTAACTTCACATCCAGATTCATACCATTCCTAGTCCATTCTTATCCACAATCATGAAATACTTCCTTTGATTTTATCTCTGCACATAAAAGCCCTCGGTTCTTATGTCTTCAAACACAAATTTAGAAGGAGGGATAATGCATGCCTTCTTCCCTGCTTCTGTGAAAACAGGCAAGCAAACCAACTGCCATAAAAATGAAAGAGGAAGGAAAGTAGGCTGTACATACCAAGTGAAATTTAGTATTTTAAAACAACCTAAATTATTCTTTTAGAAGCTAATAGCTACAGTGTGGGAACATGTACCTTCTTCTCAGATTTATAAAGACAGTACCCTACACATTTTACAGTAAGCTTCAATTGTGAAATATGTGAACCTCACTGAAATTTTCAGTGCTGTGGCTAATTTTATAACTGGGCTTTCAAAATAATTTAATTAAATTTGCAAAAGAATAAAAATTAGTGTTGTTGTATTAGTAATGTTGAATACCCACATTACAAAAATGTATATAAAATCCTATACAGCAAAATATTTCTTCAAAAAATGCAGTAACATATAAAAGAGAGATTTTGGAGGAGTTCATTCCCCAAACAATTCCAATTTCATAAATAATTACTGCAGCCATTGAGTACTGCACATCAGTAAAGCCAAGCATTTCAAGAACAACCTTAAGAAATCTAGGCTGAGGTGAATTCCAGAAACAACTCTCAAGCAAGACTGACAGTACTGTTAGAAAAGAGAACAACTAATTAAAATAGAAAAATGTTAATATAGACAAAAAACACACCAACTGTCTAACCTGATGTTTGCTGTGTGTTAACTGTAAAAACTGCTAATCAAATTTCTGTTAACACTACCAATTAACTGAATCAAAGAATTTGCAAATCCACTGTCTACTTCTGTGTATCAGTAGGTATCTCTTATTTCCCTGCAGATCATGTCTTCCAGTTTCTTTTCACCATTTCCTTTGGGCATTAAATGGGTTTAAGCATATAAATTAAAACTGGGCAAAGCCTGAAACAATTATTAGTTTACTGTTAAATTATGTAAATCTGTTTTAAGAGATAGACATTTCAAACACCATACATTCTATATTGACCAACGCTGTTTAGAAAATAAATTAACTTCAACAGTCACAATTTAGCCCAAGTTATCAAAAATACATTTAGCGTCCATAAATACAACCACCCTTCTGTATTCAAAATTACCTTGTCTATTTACTTCATTCTGAAGCAGCTCTTCCATTGCCTCTTCTTCAGCAATATCTAATGGAGTGTCTCCTTCACTATTTACAGCTCCTACATGTGCTCCTTGACTAATTAAATACCTGCCAATAGACAAAGAAAAAAAGCCCATAAATAACATAGCAAAGCTGATGCAAAAAAAAAAAAACCAAACAAAAAACCAACTCATCAGCCACTAGGATATTATATGCACAGATACAATAGAAACATTTATATTGGCTGTAAGTACAAACACTTGTGACTGTCTGCAACCTATGAATACCCATAGATCTTTTCATCCTAATACCCATTAATACAAATAGCTTTCTGGTATTGGTTTGCCACAAAGACTCCTGACATGTTTCATACATACCTGGAAGAACTGAAAGAAGAAAATGGCTAGATAAAGACCAAAAGTGATGACAAGGTGAACAGGGACAGAACCACCAATTCCTGTGACCTCCTCTTATTAAGCCACTTTTCCTATAAGTCAATGGCACATACAATTTGCCAAAATGATGACTCCTGATCTTTTTGGCAGCTTCTTAAAGTCAATAAAAACAAAACTACATTTCCTTCTAAGTATTTATAAGGTCAGCTTTTAGTGGGAAAGGAGGCAAGGGGGAGAAAGAAAACAGTACTTCACACATTTCAACCCTATTATGTTTTCTTATCTGATATGTTACTGTCTCAGGAGTCAAGAACCCAAAACTCTCCATTTCCAATTACATCAAAGGATCAATTCCAACAACAGGTCACAAAAATATTATATTATTTAATTGTATTAAACCATAAACCTATGAAACTATTGAAAAGTTACAGCTAAGGAAAAATTTAAATTGATCAAGAGAGTCTTGCAGCTTCTAACCATAGTATTTCCATTTACCTAAAAAAATCAATACTTTGAGCCAAGAGTCCCGACAAGCAAAAAGCTGCAAACACACCTCCTGTCTTGCACAGCTTGATTCATATATTCCATATATTTGAGAAAAAAAAATCAGGATATACTGAAGAATCAATCATCTGTCATAAGAGGTGTACAAAACAGTGCTTTCCTACCTTCACTATTACAGAATGCCAAATTATACAGGAGACAATCACACAATTAATCCAACACTAATACAAATTCTTTGAAGTACTTTATTGCTGCCTTGACTTCTGCCAATTAATTATCATCCTAGATAGCTGAAATCTGTTATCTTTAATCAATAACTCAAATCTAATACTCTCCTATATCTGTATTTTTTAATGTATGACTTAATTAGTATTTGTTACTAAATCTGTCTAATTACATCAAGAAGTGGTAAGAACTAGTAGATCACAAAATGAAAACTAATTCCCAGAAAGGCAAATCTCCTGACATGTACACCATCAGCTGCTACCAGCAACTTTGATGCTGGTATACCATGCTGGTTTTATACTGTTCTTCTTGAGAGCGCTGTGCTCTAACTATGACCTCCCTCCTTTTAAGAGATTGAACTTCTGCAGGAATGAAAAATTAATACAGAGGAACAACATTTCTCAACAATACTAGTTGTACTAACAGTGATACAGCTTCCCATGTCACAGACGAGGTAATTGTTCTGCAGGTGTTTGTTAAACAGACAAAAACAGCACTGGGGAAATCAAGCCTCTTACAAAGTCAAAATAAAGTCAACCACTTACAAACATATCTTTATTTAAAAATCCAAGTGAATAATAATGTTCTTTCAATGTTTACGTTCTAATACAGACAGGAAAAAAAACACTTTTATGTATCTCCACGCAATACCTCTAGCAGAAAATTAAAGCACTTCTCTAAGAAAAATACATATCTCATTGAAGCAGTTGTATTTGGTCAACTGGGCCAATATAGATATGATAAAAGAAGGAACACATTAAAAAAGTGTAGGGAATGAATAAAAGGCTAGCATAGCATTTTAAAGAGTTATTATTGTTATAGATGGACAACTTCACGATCAATTGATTCTTTAAAGCAGACTTCAAAATGAAGCTGCTTGCAGATCAAAATCAGATCAGCAATGCTAGTAAGGTTGGAGAAGTATAGTTATCTGATTTTCCTTTTGCAGGTGCTTACAGGGATTTGGTTTTCCTGGGTCAGCAAAGCAAGCATAGGTGAATTTGCTCCAAGTTCACAGGATTTAAAGGGATGGAAGAAACACATCAAAGATGAAAGGCAGCACACTCCTTGCCAAAGAAGTGAGAACACACTTTTCCCAGCCTTCCTTCAGCCACATCAACTAGACCCCTCCACTGCTATCCCTCTCAAAAAATTAACACTGATCCTCTCAGGAAAATTAAGTGAAAGAACATTATTAAAGATAAACCAAGTAACTTAAATTCCAACTATTTTAAAGATACCTTTAATGTGTAGCCTTTTCTCACCTGAAAAAATCTACAACTGTTCTGTTTTCCATATCATTCAGATTACCTCGTCCTGTAAAAGTGTATTATGCATTTGTTCACCTACAGCTACTTTCAGCCAAGCTATGACAGGGTTCACATGGTACATGAACCTGGTACCTACAGAATCAATAGTTTTATTAGAAACTTAGTGCTATCAATGGAAAGGAGAAGAATCATTTTCCATGAGTCCATAACTTGACCCCACAGCATTGCATACACAAAGACAGATTTGGTAAACAAAACCAAAAGAATGATGCCCTGACTTTGTAGGGCATAACTGAGCAGAAGACAGTACCAGAATAATCCTAAGAATGAGAAGATTTTGCTGTTTACATAAGAAAAATATTTCTCGAATGAACTGTATTTCAAACAAAACATTATTTAGAACTTATATAGCATGACTTCAAATAAAGGTGTATTTGACATTTCAGTTACCCTGGTACCATATACTAGAATCTTCATGTGCCACTGTGTATCATGGTGTGCAGGTATGTATGCGGATATTAAGACTTGCATGTTTTGGGAAAAAACCTAAACAATGTATACAAACGACTGCTTGTATTTTACATTTTAAAGTAAATGTTACCTTCACCTTGACATTTCATCTTTCTAAAGCAAGCAAACATAAACTTCACTTCCTTGACAGATATTTAATTTTTACCGTTACATACACACATATCACATATATACACAGTGAAAAGGAAATTGAAGCTGTGTAATGAAAAGTCCAGCCCTATGCATTTTGACACCATGTCTATAAAAAGGTGCTTTATGTAAACTCGGAAGCAGTGAAAAAGTAAAAACATATTAAGTCTTCCACCATCTCCTACTAAACTTTTCTGGTATAGCCCTTGCATTTGTATCTTTTGAAATTCACTTGTTCAAAAAATGGTCATGTTCAACAGACAACTACAGAACAAAAATTAAGAAAATTCAGTGATAATCTGTATCATGTAATGGAAAGCTTTAATTCTAAATCTAAATAGATGGCAAGGAAACAGCAGTTTGATTCATACCATCCTGTTTTATCAAGTTAAAGTTTTCAAGTGTTAACACTGAAGCTAAAGGTACACTTTTATACTCTCGGGATCTAAATATAGCGAACTGAAGTATCCCAGGAATACTAGGAGAGACAAAAGCAGCGAAAGAAAAGAAAATAATTCCTGATACTTTTGTTCTGATATTTCCATGACAAGGATTATGCAGTCTGGAAGAAGTTTGCTTTGCAATACTATTGTTTAATGAAGGCAAATATGCTTCTAACTGTATTTTTTATTCAAGGAGTCACTACTATATACTCCTCAATAGCTACTGAAAACTGAAATTAACTCCTTTGGAAAAAACACCAAAACAAACATTTATTTTTCTAGAATTATTATGAAACCTATATACTCTCCCATCCTTTAGTGAAAAATATATTTTTATATCACTAAAAAAGGGCTGGAATCTCAGTATATCTGAGACAATAAAAACTAACCCTCTCAGATTACTGTACAAAAGCCAAACAGTCCACACCAAAACAAATCCCAGAAACTGGAAATAAAAAAATATTTAACTAGCAATGTGGCCTACATTCTGAATTTAAAAAAAAAAAATCCCAAACAAAAAAAAATCCCTTACAACTGAACTTTGTGTGTCTGTACATCTGTTAACAAAATGCATATATAGAAAAAAAGAGAGGAAACCACCTCTCTCTGAAGACACTGTGTATACAAAGTTGAGTCATATCTCTGAATTTAGAATTTCAGAATCTGGAAGATGCTCAAACTTGGATAACACTGCAGATAGCATTTTCATATTATTTATCTCAGCACCAGAAAGAGGGGCATATGTTTACATTCGAACCTTGGCCCAGTTCACAGTATCTGGAAACAAGTTTGCAAAGTCATTACAGATATAATTAACTTGAAGTACTGGCTGAACCTGAAGGTCACCAGAAGGGTGGAAGGCACAGGGAAGGGCAGAGAAGTGGCCATTACAAACTGCTGACTGAGCTCACTGGAGACACACTGGCACAAACAAGTGGTCCCATCAGACTGTTCAGAAGACTGGACAGCAGTTCCTGACTCCTAAAATGCGATGAGAGCGACCTGCCTAAAAAAATGCTACATATACATTTTAAATAAACATGCTCAGTGTGTCCTTCCTGGGAAACAAGGCCTAATTGCCAGCAAGGGGCCCAACTAACAGCGCAACTGCCAAGAACTTTTAACTAATTAGCTAACATTTAAGATTTCAGCTAAACCCAGCTGGTTCAAAAAAAATCCATACATGTTGGAGTTCAAATTAATTCCATTAGTATCTTAATTGAAAAGAGCCAGAGACTGAAAACGTATCACTGTATTCATGCAGCTGTGTAAAACCTCATTCAAAGAAACAAACAAGGAAAAAAGTTAAAAACTGACTAATTTGGAATATGAATTTTATTTTTTTAAAGCCTTCCAGAATTGTTTCACTGTTTACTTTTTTAAAACATATAAAGTAGCAATGCACTTGTGAAAGGATATCTTTGTAAAACATCCATATTACTGGTAAAAATACATTTACAATAACTCTGGCCAAACAATTAGGCCTCCAAGAGAAGAAACAAACAAGGAAAAACGTTAAAAACGGACTATTTTGGAATATGAATTTTATTTTTTTAAAGCCTTTCAAAATTGTTTCACTGTTTATTTTTTTTAAAACATATAAAGTAGCA